AAAAATGGAGGATGTAGCAGCGCAAATATAAACGCAAATGTAATATAAAAAATTGCAGTAATATAAAAAAATGTAATTAATGCATATAAAATTGAACCAAAATGTAAATGCATATAAAGACAGTAGCCAAGCGTATACAGGGAGCGTCCCGGCGGGTTCGGCGCCGGTTCGAATCCCGACTAGGTCCTTTCCTTTCTAGAACTCAAATATGCACCGAACTTGATGGGATGCTCCGTAACCAGGTTCGATCCCCCCAAAACCTATTTTAACCGTCTTTTCGCTCTAATTTGGTTCAGCCTTGATTAAAGCTGACCTTAAAAAAGAGCAATTTGTCTCAAGGACAAATACTGGCCATTTTTGCTGCTTGCTTTGAGTTATGCAGATGTTTTTGTGGCCGATGTTACCGATGATAAAGTTTGTTAAAAACTATCGTTATATTTTCAAATTTCCGGAGTTATTTTGCCGAGAAAATACTCATTAATTCAAGTGTTTAAAAACCGTTTTTTTTATAATCGTGGAGATTGACGCGCACACAGACCCCGATGAAGGTTTTCATCACAACGATAAAATTAGCCACTTTCTATGTCAAACACGACATTCTCATATCATACAATAAGAAAATAATCCATCCAACAGAACTAACCTGTTTTAAAAACACACAAAACTTCAAAACTCGCAGACCCAAAATTAATCAATTCAATCTTATATCACAAAACAACCGTCTCGTCCTTCAAGTTCAACACGCTTAATCCACAAAAAGGGATTTAAAAGAATTTACTATCAAACATCAGCTATCGCACAAACCCTCAAACCTCATTATTTGCTTGCAAGAAATAATTTCAACTTAAGGTGTTTAATAACTGACATCATTATACAACATGATTTAGAAAACTTTGATACACACCCACTTTTCAACAATTTGGTGCGGTAAACAGTGAGGTTTGTTCACTTTTTGGGTTTCAGTTTACATGAAAGTAAGCTGCATTGCGAGCAACGAAGCCTGTCAATTATTGAAATATGATTGCCAGTTGCTGCTATGCAACACTTACATTAACCAACGTCAACGCGCCATGAAAAAGAAGATCTTGAAAAATACCCTTGACTTACTGCCATCTTTTCCGTTGTGTCTCTTAAGACACTTGAACAATTTTGAACTCAGCGACATGATTTCATCCACCCCAATTTGTTCTAAACTTTGATCCAAAATTACAAAGCAACGAAAAACTTCAGGAAATTATGACTGAACATAGCCTAATAGACTAAGCAACTGCATATGAAATGCCTGATTTTTTTTCAATGCATCGAAACAATCAAAATATTCTCACGATTTGACTGAAAACAATTTTGCATCATCAACTGAAAAAAGTGACATATCTGACCACTCCAACCTACAATAATCTAAGACCAATTTTAGTTCAGAGCATGGCCAAGGTTGTTCTTAGTTGAACTCAAGCATCTTCGTACCAAACAAAAACTCCTCGAAGCACAAGTATAAGATCTCCATCAAAATTAACCTCCATTTAAAACGAACCAATGAAACGCATAATTCTGAAATCAGAGACAGATTTAGGGCAATGGGTCTATACAAACAACGCACAGACAAAAAACATTGACACCGAAGGGGCAACAAACAACAAATTGACTATGCACGAAAACGACTAGGCAATTTTAACATCCAACAACCATACCAACAAAAATAATTTGAAAAAATCGATAAGCCAACAAGTTAAATCATAAAAAAAAACATTAAGGAGGCGTAAAATTTTTTAAGACGCTCTCACGAAGAACTCTCTTCCAAATAAAATCAATCGAATCCGCTCTGTTAGTGACAAGACTGGCAACCAATTAGACAAAATGAAAGACATTCTTAGCGTCTATCAGAACAATTTTACTGAAGTCTACAATCCGACAACTTGACGAAAAAAAACATGAACTTGAAAGAAAAAACGCTTCATCAACAGCAACAAAACTTCCCTTCCTCAACTAGAAAATGAGAAGCTGATATCGTTAAGTGAAGAAAAACAAGTCATAAAGAAAATTAATGAACATTCAGCACCTGGAGCAGACGGAATCACAACCCCATTCATAAATGTTATTCGGAGAAGTAGTACCAGTTCTACAAAATTCTCTAATAATGCTTTTAGTGAGAAACATTTCCATCTAATCTCAATCATGCGATAATAAAATTAATTATCCCCAAAACTGTAAACTCATCTTCGATCTCAAATTTTTGTCCAGTGAGCCCATTTATCACCAACTGCAAAGATACTATCTCAAATTCTCACAGCCTAAATTCTCAAATTCAATTTTGAACAGTATGGTCAGAGAACATTGGCAAATCATGGTAGTCAAGCAAATCAAGGTAGCTCTAGAAAAAATTATTCAACATTATCAAATACAACAGATGAAGAATGCGTTGTAGTCATCGATTTCGCAACAGCTTTCGATAGGGGTTACCTGATTCAATTTAGAAAGAATCAATATTGACACAAATAGCTTCAGAGCGCTGTACTAGAAAAAAAATAAGCTGTGTAGATGTTAATGGCTGCTTTACTTCTTGAATAAGAACTCAGCATGGAGTTACACAAGGTGACACATCTCTCCTTTTTGTTTATTTTTGCTCAAGAGCCACTTATGCAGGGATATCAGGGTTCTTCAATACAGATTGTTTCGAACTCAGTTTTGATTTTTTTCGATGTTATCTCAGCAAAGGCCTAGTCTATTAGGAATCAATACAATAAAACTGGAAGTCTTAAGCAGTCAAAAATTTAATGAACCTAAATGTGTAGCCAAAAAGAGACCAAAAATTGAAAGTTTCTTTTTACATCGACTTTGTAGGGGACGAGATTTACGCAGCAAAAAAAATAGCAAAATATCGACTCCAATTCAACCTCAATTATCACAGAAAAGCAAAGCCGAAACCAAAACTTGATATATCAAAAATGTTCTGGACACATGTCTTGTATCGAACGATTTTTCTATGAGAGTGAGTTACCATTCTTTGGTGATGTAACTGTCATATAATAATTCTCGCAAAGTTATCTATTAAAAACCTAACAAATCGGAATCAAAATTTACTTTTGAATAACAATTTAACCATCAATCAAGCAGTTTTTGTTTTTTTTTGTAAAATTTTTGTCCAATTTTTTTTACTTGAAACCGCTTCATTCTCAGTGTTTCATTTTTAGCCAAAATTGATGGTGGCATGCGAAGTGCACATTCGTTTGGATTGTTTTCAGAAATATAAGAGCAGCTACACTTGTCTTGTGAAAGCATCAAGCTTCCAATCGCGAGAGTGTGATGCCAAAACTTGCTTGCCATTGGTCAACAAAGCGATATGGAGATTACTTTCTCAAAAAAATTTCCATGTGATTTTTTGAAATTTTGATCAAACATGCAACCCCTTTCACTCCCACATTGTCAATTTGTGTGGTTTAACTACTGGGTTTGAAGCAAACTTGAAATTAAAATGAAGTATATATCTACATAACATTTTTTAAACGAAAACTACACAGAATTGATATTTTTATAATTGACTTTAGTTATTAACCAAATTTTATTTATGCTCATTTTACAATCTCCCAATTTTTTTCCAAAAATAGTGAAAACTCTATAAAAACTATTCTTACGTTTGCTAAATTTCTCTTTGATGTGAGCCGTTTTGGACTTTACTTAGTATTTACTCATACAACTTCGAACAGGTCTTGATAAAAATACCAGAAATTCTCAATCTAGTATCTGAGCAAGTTGTACTTTATTCGGTTAAATTCTGCAGTGAATCCCTTCAATTCGCTTAAAAGATTTCGTACTGTTTCATTTAAAAAGTGGATAATTTTGTTTCAAGTAATTAGAACGTTGTTTTGCTTTTTGCAAAATGTTCAAAAATGATTGCGGAAAAATTTCATATCTCACAATTTGTCTTAGGAGAGAAGACTTTTTCTAAACAGTTTTGGAGTCAAATGTGGTTACAACATGAACATTTTTCATAAAAATTTTCTAAGACAGCAACTTTTGGTCAATCCGAGCTGCGCATCAATTTTGAGGCTCGTGAAAAAATAACTTTAGCAGTCGTGAAAACCAATTTTTCTTTGAATGTCAAACTTTCTCAAACCGAAAAAACTCGATAAATTTTTGAACATTTTCAAACAAAATTTTCTGACAATTATAAAGTTTTTGCTTCATACTTTATGGGATACTGCCCGCTCATGAAAAAAATTGGCAGTAGTTTACATTAAGGACTCGAGTTTGATGTTCTTCTCTTAAGTTCTTTGCTGTTTTACAGGACAAATTAGGTCAAGGTTTTACTTTTTGTTTACCTTTTAACTGAATTATGAGCAAAAAAAATGAAAGAAAAAACAATGCAGGCATGCAGACTTGTTTCAATAAAAAACCACTTCCATTTCTGCAGCAAATAACGGTCGAACGATGTCCGTTTTCGACTTTACCGGCAACATTTGACCTTCTTTGTTTCGACTAAATGCACTTTCTAGGATGTCGCTCGAAACAAACACAGAGGGAAAGCTGAGCTTCGCACCACATGCGATACAAATATGAATGACTATGATTAAAATCAAACGGAAAAATTGAAAACAAAAAAAAATCGAAAATTCGTTTTTGTCAAAAAAATAATAGCAACAAAAGCCCAAAATATACGCAACCAAATTGCCTGCATCAAAAAAAAACTTTGCAAAAGCTTTCGGAATGCTAGAAAGAAGCTTATTTTTTTTTCTAACAAAAACCATATCTGCGGAACTCAGCCGACAAAAATAAACAGACAGACGATAGCCCGAAAAAGCACAAAACTCTAGTTTGCGAAAAAAAAACAGATCATGACGGATTCGAACAGCAATCTTTTGCCGTCTTAAGCAGTTGAGTTACCTCTACGCCAGATGCGCCGGATGATTGATTGAATCTTTGCCAAGCAGCGGTAACAAAGCCGAAATTACCTGAGCAGAAACCTTTCATGTCGTTCTAACTTGAAAGCGAAAAGTAGGGTTCAACATTTCAATTTCGATAATTTTTCTAAGAGTAACAAATCTATTGATGGGCTAGGAAAATACTATAATACAAAGCTCTCACAACTAAGTGAACATTTAATTTAAGTCTATATTGTGGAATCTTTTCAATGATACGCTAGGCGGTGGGGGCGGTAGTACCCCGTCACTCCTATCAGTTGGGGGGTTTCTTGGCCTGTAGATATTGACTGACTCGAATGAGTTCGTAGCTCTGTCATCCTGTTTCACAAGTGAAGAGTCAAATTTCACTGCAAAGTCAGACGCCTGCGGGAGTCTCTTTGTTCTAGGCACTGGTTGAGGATCTCCTTGGCTGTCAGCAGGACCTGTGACAAAAATACTGATAGTAGAATGCAATATTGGAATAATTTAATCAAATTTAATCTTATGTACTAAATCAAATCACTATTTGCTATAAAAAGAACATAAATTTCAGAACAACTGATAATCCTCTTCTGTTTATGACATTGTTCACACAAAAGCGTGAGAAAAACATAGCCAAAAGACAGTTTCGAATTTCAAAAAAAATACATGGCCTTAATCCCTTTGAATTTTAAGGCCATTTGTAATTGGCACTTTTATGATAAAAATTGACCCATTTTGAGAAAACTGCATTAAGAGGAAAAGTTTTATTCCACTGGGAGATCTAAAACTTAAAATTTTCGAAACTCGAAATTAATCTCGTTTTTTTTCGCGCCATTTCAACTTTCATACTTGGGAAGTGTATTTTGTCTCCTATAGCAAATTGATTTGAATTGAACTCAAAAAGTGCATATATTCCCAAGGGCATTCATGTGTACATTTATAAATATGAATGCATTTCTTTTGTTATTAGAGCATTTTAAGACTTTTCCTGAAAAAAATCATCACGACCTATATACGGGACTAAGCTACGTTCATCGACCCTTAAAAATCTGTTGCTTCCAATGAACAATTTTGATTAAAATCGACTCTTGACGCATTAAAAACGAATCAGACAAATAAAGGCAACATATAGTTGGAAACGAGTAGTAAACACAGAGGCGAAGCGGAGCTTCGCATAACTTGCGATACCACAAAAATAGCTAGTAGACAGGAAAGGAGGCAACTAAGTCCAAAGAAAACAGAAAAATTTTGGAATAAACCACAACTGCAAAATTTCAAATACTGCTTATGATGATGTTCTATTTCCGGAAAACACGTCCAGAAACACATTCGACGGCATTTAAAAACTCAAAAACAACTTTTGAGCAAAAAAAAAATTTGAACTGTAAGTTCTATTCTGAGATTTTTAACGTTTTGCGCCATACGGAGAGAAATTATGTTTCCCTCAAAGGACCCAGAATTAGGCTAGTAAGCCAATAAATAATAAGCCAAAATCAAATAGGCCGAAAAATTAAAAATAATAATAAAAAAAATACAAATCAAAATAAGTAGAATAAAAAACTGCAGTAGTAGATGAAAACATAAAAAGCAACTAAAATGAAAAATGCATAGATCAAAAAAATCATTGATGTGGCAACTAAGCCGACAAAACATAAGCAGAAAAATTACACAGAGGCGAAGTTGCACTTCGCATGCACAAGCAAAAATATGACCGATAACGCTACTGGGAAAAACTGAACGAGTAAAACTTTTGAGTCTACAAAATTTCTTAAGTGACGCACGCTAATTATGACGCATAAGCAGTACCAATTTCAAAAAAAATTTACCAACTAACATGCCTCAATTTATAGAGCAGTCTATCGAGCAGTAATAATAAGAAAAAATTAAGCATACTAAAAAAATTTGAGAATTTTTGTTAAAATCGTCCCCCACACGCCAAATTAAGTACAAAGTGATAAATTTCGCTCCTAGTAACAACAAATCAATTATGGCAAATAAGCGTCCCTCAACGAATTTGCAACAATTTCTATGACGGATTAACCCCATAACTTTACAAAAAATGATCACAGGTGAAATATCTTTTCAAATTTAAGCTCAGGACAACAAAACCTTTTGAATGATATAAAAAAAATCCGTCAAAAACGGCTTGATATTCCGTTGCTCTCGTTAAAAAAGTCTGAACAATAAAAGACTGTGTTAAAATCCTTAGCATTGACTGTAATTAATGGCTGGTTAATGATCAAAATGAACACTTTCACAATATTTGCGACTTAGGTTAAAAAAAAAGATAGTTTATACTATAACACAAGCATTGCTTGTGTAATAAGCCGACAATTTTTTTGAAACACAATATTTCCCGTTTGAAAAATAGACATTGGTCAGATTCGAACCCAGAACCTTTTGCCTCCCAGGCGTATTCGTTAACTCGAATACGTATTCGCAAGCGTAAACAATAAAAACTAAAAAAAAAATATTTAAAAACTTTCAACTTTCGAAATTTAAGAAAAAAATTAATAGTTTTAAAGCGCTATGAGTTTCAAGACGAACCAATTAATGATTGACACTAATTTGATAAACCTGGATCAATAAGTAATTATTTTAATCAGTTGCAAAATTTGAAATTAAAATCCACTTTCGAAACTGGAAAGCGATCACGTTTTTCGAGACCTTCACACTTTCGCTGTTCGATGCCTCATTTTACACAGAGAATCTGCCCTGCGCAAATACTAGCTAACGAATAAAAAATAATAAAACGAACAAAAAGAATCAAAAACTCGCACCAAGACAATCGAAGGTAAGAATAAAAACAGAAGAAAACTTACCAAGCTGTAAACAAGCCGAAAATACCTGAGAGAAAACCCTTTAAGCCGAAAAAATTCCCAAAAGAAATAAACTTAAAAAAATTATACCCCATTATACCTCAATACACAAAAAAAATTTCACTCATCAAACGACAAACTATGAGGCCAATAAGCCGATACAAAATAGGCCGAAAGTTATCAGCAAGAGAAAAAAAAGAAGAAACAAAAAGTGAAATTAAAAGGTCTTATAATTTTAAAAAAAGTTGTTAAAGACCAATCCCCTTCAATATATATTTTTTTCGCTCAATACACGCACAAAATTTTTTCGCTAAATTAAAGACAAAACATGAAGCCAATAAGCCGATATAAAATAGGCCGCAACTCATTGAACCGAGAAGAAAAAAGAAAAAAACGAAAATGAAATTTAAGAAAAAGACTTAAAAATTGATAAAAAGTTATTGAAGTCCCATCCCCTTCATTACACTCACACGTGCACAAGTCTTTTTTGCTTATAAAAGGACGCAAAATGAGGCCAATAAACCGAAATAACATAGGCCGAAAAAAAGAAATTTTAAAAAAACTGAAATTAAAACAAGCAAGTTGGTAAAATTACAACCAACCTAAAAAGCAAATTTCGAATACGACGGGTATTCAATATGCTAACATGCTCCAAATGTGTATGTATATTGCAGTTTCCAACAGAGATACTACTGCTGCAGCTCAGATTGCAACGTACTGAAAATGGATATCTTGAAATTTGAGATCATCCTGTGGACAAAGTTGCTTGCGGGAAAAAAGTCTGGTACCCGATAGCAATACCCTAACTCATCACAAGGGTAATAAAAAAAGAAATAAGCCTCGAATTAAAAAAAAACAATTCGGCTACGTCTCGGATTCGCTCTGCGACCTAGAGATTATGAGTCTCACACACTAACCACGGACGTTTAATATATCACAAACACTAGCCAGATATTAAAGCAGAGAACAGATGTTGGGAAATTTCCAATGCTACAGATCGTGATTATACCAAAAATTCCTTCAAATAGTGAACACTTTGACACCCAACAGAGAGCCGACGAATAACGAGCACTTTTAGTTGCAAGTTAGAAAAAAAGGTCCGTACTAATACACTAACGCTCGCAAGCTCGAGGGTGTGAACAAAGGAAATGCACTGAACTTAAAAAGTAATCAGAAGTCAGTATGCGAAACAGAAAATTTGAGTCTGAACAATTTTCAGACGTTTCCAGAAAACAAAATTAAAAAATCATGACCTTTAAAAGTTAAAATCACTTCGTTCATTTACACTAAATAAGACTACTCAAAAGAGCACGATTCACATCTACAATTGGATACAAAAATAACCATGGAACAAATCTCTCTCCAAATCTAACCTGCACTAGTTCCCAACTGTCTTCCAGGCGTGTACCTCGAATTTCTCCCCGCCGGAGACTGGCCACTCTTCTTAACTCCTCTCCCGATGTCATGCCTGTTCTCATCCACCGGGAAAGTGGAGAAATGCTTCTGGTAGAACTTGCCCACGTGAAATCTGATAGGCCGACGAAATATGAACACGATTAAAGCCAAGATCAGAAGTAGTGGGATGATGACCAGGAAAAAAACAAGCACTGCCCTGGCTGCTCCAGAGGTGTCCGGCGTCTCACTTGCTGGTCCAGAATCCACACTTCCTAAACCACATATTTGCTGAATTGTAAAATCAAATATGCCATCCATCCGAAGCACATCAAGAGGTTACGATTAGATTAAGCTTTAGATTTTCATGATAAAAATCCGTAGAAAAAAACGGTTTTAATAATTTCTAGGCCCACAGCCTTTGCGGTGTAGTGCCTATAATTTGATCAAAGCGTTTATTAAACAGAAGAACACTGATTTTCAGTAATGGTTGGTAAATTTAGAGGTAGAACTCACCTCCGTTTCCAGGCACATCGCAAAGAGGCGGTGCCCAGCCGACGTTGCAGTGACAGTGATTCTCTGAGTTGCACACACCATGGCCATTGCAACGTCTAACGCGCAAACAACTATGTTAGAATAGATATTTGTGCAACTTATTCCATATTCATTTTTTACGTTGCAACAAAATTGCAGTGTTCAATGACGCTCTTCGAATATCTGTTGAAAAACAAACAAATTAATTCGTATATTTTTTGAAACTTTAATTTCACTTATATCATGACAGAATTTTGTACCTCGCAGAAATGATGCAAATTAAAAATGCAGACCAACTTGGGACATATTTGGAGTCCGGCGATGTCTGATATGTTGGTGCACTGCTTCCCAATGCAGATGCTCTCATCCGCACACCACGTTCCGTCCCTGACGTAAGAGAAGTCGTCTATTCCGTCTGCTATCGGCTGGTATTTGTCCATGGAGTAGCACCTAGATCCGTCTCCAAATGTGGTCCAGTAAGTAGTGGAGGATACCGATACGCTCAGACTACCGCTGGATGTTCTGCATTGTAGCTTGCCACACCTGGTGAAAGTTTAAGAAACTAATTTCAGAGGTCATTTAAAAAAAAACCCACAGGAGCAAGATCATGGGCGGGTTTTTTTTCTCCAAGCCAAGGGCGGATTCGACTGCGTCACCAATCAAAGGGTCCCTCCCCTCTTTGTGCTTACTTGAGATAACCATTTTTGGCTGACTGACCATAAAATTTTTCTAAAGGAGCCAATATATATTTAGTATGAGGGAGATGCACGCGCCGAAAAACCGCAGTTTTTGGGTCAAAATTTTCTAAATGCACAAAAACGGCATTTTTGACGTGCTTTTTTTTAACAATTGCCTGCGGCGCAAAATGTTTGGTCAAATTAGGTTCTTTGCAATGTTCTGGGCGCGCTCTGAAAATCAATTTTGTCGACCAAAAAAAGGTCGACAAATATTTCAATTAAAATTTTGAAAATCCACCCTCCCCCCTCGAGAAAATCCTAGATCCGTCCCTGCCCAAAGGTAATAACGTTTTTCGGTTGGATTTCAATGATTATTTAGAGACACCTAGATTTCCAAGCCCTAGAAGGAATTTTTTTTGGTTGAATTTTAGGTACCCCAAAAAAGCAAGGAGGGGTCAATTGTAGTATCATATTGGAGCCTCTGCAGCCGTGATTCGTTATCCAAAACTGAGGGGCTGATTTTTGAATATATTTTCTATCAAATAGATTTGTAAATTATTCTAGCTTTTATTGCCCAATTTCTGCAGCTTAATAAGTATTTCAAAAGTAATTCGATCCCCTTGGCGAAAAACAAAAATTGAAATAAGGTGGTGAAAAAAGAACGACAACCGTCTACACTTGTTTTTAGACTGAGATAAATATCATGGAGGAAAAAAATTCACAAACCTGGAATTCGCCTCCGTGCAAGTCACGCCTTCACCACAGTTGCCCTTCTGATCGCCTTTCTGATTGATCCTCCAACAGGCTTCCGAAGTCTCCAGCTCGATCTTGTCATCTGGGTCGAACAGACTGAAAGCAATTTTATACTCCTGAAAACTGTCTCTTAATTGGCTCCCAGTCATTACCGCCCCAAAAACACTCAGTTCCTGAAATGACTGCTTTTAAGGCAGAAATAACTGGGTTTTTGGGGCGGAATTGACTGGAACGGAAACGTCTGGTCACGCTCTAAATTATATTATCAATTAGTCGACAAAATTTATTTTCATTTTCCATGCTTCTATTCAGCGAGCCTCCTGAAATTAGCAGCCAAAGTTAATCGTGATCAATAGCTAGCAACGTTTTTGAAGCTGTGCTCAACTCAAACTAAAGCACAGGCAGCAATATACCTCAGATTGATGATTCACGTAGCTAAAAAAAACAAGTATTGTATATATCCAAACTTAAAATTAAAAAAAAAAATCAATCGTTTTAGCATGTACAAAAAATTGTGACCAAAAGCAATTGGCTACGCTTGGCTAGAGCCAAATTTTACCGGTAAATTGAACTTAAACCAGGAGAAATTGAACTTAAACCATTCGCACGGGCTATTATTTTCAATAGCAGCATAGAACTAAATCAGAATTAGGGCCATTAACTTCGTAAAACTATAAAATTGATTATATGATTCATCAACGTCAACTTTATTAGCTTTACAAAAAGTTGCTCATAGAGTTAATAATGTTTAGACTTGGAAACTACATGCCAAATATTATTGCAATCGGACAAGTCTTTTTCTATCAGTTTTTCGCATGTGGAAAGGAGGAGGGGAAACAGGAGGAATTAGGGTGGCAACGAGATTGACTTACTCCACACATTGGTCATACACAGTCATGCACTGTCCATAGTAACAGTGGCTGCTCAGCCTGTCATTCTGACTATTGCATGGTTCCCCATTTTGTATGTAAACATCACTCGGACACGAACTCATTTTTCCGTCACAATACTCGGGCAGATCACAAGACGAGGCCTTGTCACGACACGCTGCGCCCTCCGTTCGGATTTGACATGTATTGTCACAGCATAGATCTGAGATGGAACATTGGGAGCCAGGAGTCAGCATGCATGTCGAGGCGTTGCAACAGGGGTCGTCGCAAGCTGAGAGGATTCCGCAGTCGCATTCCTCCCAGGCCTGGTTGACGAACTTGTCTCCGCAGTAAGGATCTCCAAATGTGAGAGTGGGACGGTTATTCAGACACACTCCGAAACCTACAAGAAAAAATTAAGACGCTTTACCTTTGAACTCAAATAAACGAAAGAAAAAAACTTAACGACATACATTTGCTGTGAATTCGAACCGCAAATGAAGGGAATCAATATATCTTTAAGCTCAAGAGGATTTGCCAACTTTGACTGCTAATTAATGATAGTTCACATAAGCGACGCAGATTGTTGCACTACTTGCGACACAACCTAGGCCGACAAAGAGTGGTTAGACGCCCACTGAGCCGAAAACATAAAATTGCCATAAGAAATTGTTGTCATAAAAAATTTTGAGCAATTAGAATTTATAACTTTAATATCTTGTAACAGAAACTAGTTAAATTTTTTTTGACTTTGGAATCGAATCTGCATCCTTGATATTAAGAGTCACAAACACTAACCACTCAGCCACGGAATCTTATAAGTACATTGTACATAGAAGACTGAACATTAGCCGCAGAGAAATAAAGCGCAGAACAGATGTTATTTAATTTCTTCTACAGTGAAATTTCCAAATAAGTCAACACTTCTATTTGCAATTTAGGTTAGAAAAGAGAAGGTGCGTAATAATACACTAAGCTGACGCTAACGTAAATAAAAGGGGTAGTGGAAACGCATCATCCTCAAAATATGTTTGTTGGTTGACAAAAGTGCAGATGAAATAAATGACTCAGTGATTTTATTGAACAAGTTGTTTTCAACAAACAATCTATGTTCCGAATTGATAACTCTAGCTAAAAGCGACCACTATCACCCCATAGGTAATGACTCGTTTACTTGAATGAGCGTAGCAAAACAATTCGAAAAAAAAACAAAGTTTTCAAAAAAACATTCTTGTATCTGAAATACCTCCACCAATAGGGCTTTAGAAAAGGCATTCAGTAACTCAGAAGAAAACTGAACATTGGAAAAGAGACCGCATCACAGGAACTAAGCCGATAAAAAATAACAGACAGACGACATTCCGGAAAACCTGAAAATTTCTGGTTTAAAAAAACCGGTCCCGGCCGGATTCAAACTACAAAATTTTGTCCTCTCAAGTAGGCGTATTATCGCTACGCCGGGCGCTGGATAATTGCTGTTCTGAATATTGCAAATGGGAGGAACTTTAAATCCAGGAGTGTTTTAGTTTTCTGGTCTTCATCAGGTAGCACAAATAATCATTGGAAAGGTTCGAGTGATATATCATGATAAAACAATTTGAGTCGTGATTCGAATTTCTGCCAAAAAAGGAAAAAAAATATGCCTGTCGAATATGCTTAAACATATGCTTTTCGTCAGATCCTCTCATCGTGCAACACAAAAAAAATATCTATTTGAAAAACATGAAAAAAATGTTAATTCTATTTTTTAAAGAAAATGGTCGGAACACTCTGTGCAACTTGTACAGCAACCGGCTATCCTTGTTTGATTTTGAGATTATTATGAAGAAGATGAAATATTTGCGCAATCTTACGAACAAAGTTGTTTACGGAGAAAAAAGTCTATTACCCGATTGCAACACCCTTGGATTATCGCAAGAGTAAAAAGAATCCTGGCACGTTCATGTTGTTCACAACATTGGCGCGACTCACAACATTTGAGGGGGGGGGGGGGGGGGGGCAAGTAATTCAAATACCTTGACTCAGTTTCTGCTTCAGTTTCTCTTGTTGACATACAGTGAAGTTGATTGGTCTGCCACTGGTGGTCGAATCCATGACACATTGTGAGAACTCACACGCACAGGGATCATCTGAACTTCTAGAGGGATTGTGGTCCAAGTTGAAGTTGTGGCCTAACTCGTGGGCTAATGTGCCTGCTATTTGGGCTGCAATTGAGGAATGGTCCTCTACGATACTGCCTAATAAAAAAGTTCAAATCTCACATGATAATATAGTTAGTGCCAATTTTTGGCAATATCGGTGTCCTTGAGCAAAAAACTGGCATTTATTTACAGCTTTTAACAAATTTATCGGAAGGCGTCTTATATGTTTGCAAACAAATCTGACCTTTAAGCTAAAACTTTTTGTTTTCAAGTTGAGGGCTTGAAGTTATTTTAGAAACCGTTAAAAAAAATTATTAAAAAACAGTCGAAAAAAAAAGTCGAAAATACATGTTGAAAAAACTAGGTGAACCACAATTTTCGTATGTCTAGATAAAAAACAACTATGGTTCCAGCTAAAGCAGGAGGTACGTGTTTGATATTGAATGAATTTGCTATAATGATGCGGCACGAAAAATGTGATTTCAAAAATTGGACTTTGCCCAAAATAAGTGAGAAGAGTAAAAATATAGCCACTTATAACGGTAGGCTATCAACAACCTGCTGTTTCGATTAAACCTATGGTATCAGATTTGGCACGATAGTTAGCGAGAAAAGTCCAAAAAACGGTCAACAAATCAAAAGTTGACATTTCCGAGAATCATAGCTTTTGCAGAAGGGATTCATTGAACCTGTTATTTAAATTGAACCCAAAACCTCAGATATGGGAGTGTAGTTCTCGAGAAAAATCGAAAAATGTTTTAAGAAAACGGTCAAAAAATTAAACTTTTTCGAGGGCAACAACTTTTCGTGTATAAAAATATGTGAGTGGCCGCTAACGCTGGGGAGCTTCCCACAAACCTTCATCTTTATTGAACCCACAAAATTAGATTTTTAGATTTGAGAGGCTAGTTTTCGAGAAAACGAAAAACAAATCAAAATTACTAGCGTGTAACGCACACCTCCGATACTCATAGTAAACTGCATATATTGGAAAAATCATCTGCATTCTTTGAGTGTACTCTGACAGCACCCAATTACAAGGTTCGTAAAAAGTTCTACGAAAAATTTAAAATGAACTAAGAAACGTCACATCTGGGAAACTCTAAGCAAAATTAAATAAAATTGCCCGCAGCAATTGACAACTAAGCTGACAACCGACAAGCAGACCGATTTTATTTGAAAAAAAAACAGGTCCCGGTCAGATTCGAACCCATGACCTTTGCCGTCCGAGGCATATTCGCTAACCCCAGGCTAAGTTTGGCGGCGAGTGCATTGGAGTTTGAATTCATTATGAGCCAAGATACAAGTGATTCAATTGATTCAGTTTAAGATGGCATTAACCCGAAAAAAGTCTATATTCCAGTTTGATAACGCTGGCTTATCGCAAGCTTTAAAATTCGCTGGCTCAAGGTCAGAATTTTTTCAGAAAATTAGGGCATTGTCCAATAAATTTGTTAAAAAATACAGCGCTGATTTAAATTATCGGGACAAAACGAACAAAATTTGAAATTTTAAACACGTTTTTCTAAAATTAGGTTAAGATTAGACAAAAAGTGAAGAGAATAACAGTCGCATAGAATTACACTGCATTTTCTTCCGAAAATCTGCACCAAAATTTTACCCATAAATTGGTCATTTCGGCTTTTTCTAATTAATCAAGAATCACGCTGAAACCACAAAGTTAATTGATGCGAAAATTATACGAAAAGAAGCTTATTACACAGCGCAACATAGTTCTCGAACAATAATAATTCAAAAAAATTGCGTAAAACGTTTGAAATTAGTTTTTAGCCAAAAGATTTTGATTTTGATATAGTAAAAATGACCTTTTCTGGCTATCACCCAAAAAATATATTCTTTTCTACGGATTTATTGAAATTTTATCCTTCCAAAACTATGTTGCGCTGTGTAATAGGCTTCTTTTGATATAATTTTCTCATCAACTGACTTGGCAGTTTCAGCGTAATTCTTTTTTAATTAAGAAAATCCAAAATGAACCATTTTTGGGGGAAAATTTTTGTTGAGATTTTCGGGGAAAAACTGCACCATATTAATTCTGGTGAAATTCTAAGCAACTTTTCTTCTCTTCACTTCATGTCTAACCATAACCCAATTTGAGAAAAACGCGTTTGAAAATTTAAATTTGTTCGTTTTGTCCGGATAGTTTAAATCAGCACAGTATATCCTTTGTAGAATTAGGTTTCTTTTAATCGTGAACTTGGTGTGAGGATGACTAAGTCAGCAGTTTTGAGTTCATATATATTTTTTGAACCTTCGTTCCTAGTCAATGCTTCATTGATTTTGTTCATATTTGTTGACCGAAAAGGATATTGTCAACAATTTGGAATTAATTACACAAGTCAGGCTCTTGTCACATATATCTCACAAAATCAGTTTCAAAAAAGTTCGGAAATTAACTTCACCAGAGCAAAAAATTTTATTGATGTGCAATCAAAGACCAACCAAAAATTTAAAGTTTTCCAAATATTTGAAGAGAATCTCTCGTGTACCAATCACAAAGTCACAGATTATGGCAAAATTACCTGACAAGGTCTCCCGGCACAAAGTGCCCATGGGTGCCAATCCAATAGTGCTCCCGTCCAACTCTGCTCCCGTGATCAACACTCCATTATCATGACTCAGCAAATCTCCCAGACTTCTGTACCTCCACGCTAAGAAACTGGACATCAAATCGCCAGCATCCGTAGTAGCTTCAATGGGTTCCGCTTCCGGGGTCTCCCAGATGACGACATCAATGAGAACAAGGTTCAAATCCAGACCTTCAATTGAACTGTAGAAGAGGTCAGCTGCATTGATGATGTCAATGGCGCGATCATTGATCTGCATTCAAAAAGGCAAGAATCTGTACAAATTTCAATTATTCTAATATAACAACCAAAATATTCGTCTTCAACATACCATTGCTATCATTTTAAGGACATTATAATCAGAAAGGAAAACACTAACATCGGAACTGCTTTTTTTCTGAGAACAACTGCTGTGCCCATGTTACATGTAATTTTCTAATTGATGCTGAATTCCAGACTTACGGTTTGAACGTCTGAGCCATATTTGTCAAAATAAGCATAGTCGTGAAAGAGTGAGACCTCCACATATCGAGTTTGTTCGAAACTGTTCCGTCTCACCCTCAGCAAACTTTCTCTTCCCTCCTCAACTGAAACTGGCTCCACCGGACAATGTTTGCCTGCATTTTTCTCAGTATCTTTCAAGTCATCATTGCTAAAAATAATCCACGACCCGTCCGGTTCTGTATGCAAAGTCCACATTTTACTCTCCAGCAAAATTAATCCAGAAAGAACTCCATTGCAAAACTTTAATCTCACACCATTTTCTGAGTTTTCGAGTAGTGACTGCTCGTTTATTTGAAGCACTGTACCTTCATAGAAGCACCCTGAGACAGAAGAATTTGATAAATGTGAACTGAAAAACTGCGACTTTTTCGTCAATTTGAGAACAATTTCACCAAATTTTTCATCGTTCGTTTTCAATCGAAGTCGATAATTTTCTGAATAAAACGAGTCCTCAAATTTCGCCTCGAGAATTTCCTTCCAGGAATCCAATTCAGGCTTAACAGATGATATTGCTAGTTGTGAGAAGGCATTTTGAGTAAAGACAAAAAGCTTTATGAGTAGACAAGCGATAGAAAGTCTGCAGTCATAAGCGGCCATGGTGTAACAAAGAAACAATGAAAGCGACTACAAACCATATCATCAGAATATTTGAAGTCACATTACGTAAGGTCTGTACAATTACGTCATAGTTAGATCTGAAGAGAGCAAACATCCTTTTTTAGTCATGAGCAAGACAACTCTTTTTTAGTAATTTATTAACAAAAAAGATAACTCTTAATCAGTAATTTAGTAGCAAAAAAGATCGGATCTCCTTTGCCATTCCCCCTGTTTGTAAAAAGTGGGGGTAGATTCGTTACTAGGTACATAATAAGCATATGCATAACCATTGAATCATTTCATTATAGGGGTGGCAATTCGTTATAAGATACCAAAGGGTGGGAATAATTGAAGAGATCCATAATATGTTACAGATATGTTGATGTTTGATTCAGTTAGTACGCAAAAGCTGATGAACAGCCTTCCTAAATTTAGTTATAACAAACCTCGCTTCCACTCTATTTATCAAGAACGATTTTTCGAATTGGCTTTCCAAACAATTATGTAGGAAAAGAAGTCTGCAAAAAAAATTAAAAAAAAACAAACACTACCAAAATATTCCATGCGTTTAACTCGAATTGTCTCGAATGAACTTCACTTTTATATTTAAAAAACCATTGGAAGAAATATACTTTCAAGCTACAATTAGCATCGAAAAGAAAAAATAAGCAGATAATAATGTGTAGGCAGACACCCGTTGGGACAAAAATGTAATTCAAAACTCGAGTGTTAAAACACTTGGAAACTGAAGTTTGAGCTTTCAATGGAGCACACACTGGCATAGGAAATTTTTCCCCCTTAAAAGAAAACAGATCAGGTAATTAGTTCGATGTTTTTAAGCCGACATTGTTTAAGTCAAACCAATCAAACCACTTGCGATCCAAAAACTATAGAATGAAAGCACCATGACGCTCAAAAATTAGCAGACAGAACTTCAAACGATGTTACAATTGACGAAGGATGTTGAATAGCGAAAAAGATTAATATAGAAGGAGGTTTTTTTGCGTTTAAATTCATTTAAGCTTCTCAAATAGGTCCTAGTGATCTGACTTTGGGCACTTGAAAATTAGTGCCCGAGCGAGACCTATCGATCTCAAAAGTAATGCCAGACAATTCAAGGGGAAAAAATCGGTAAATAGGTCGACAGAATTAAAGCCACAGTCATTAAGTTGAATTTCAGCCACCAATTTTCGCAAAAAAATCATGTTTGAAAAAACTGCATATGAGGCCCAAATAGGATTCACGATAGCTATAAAAATAGCGTATGCAAAGTGGACTACAGAATTTGGAATCTACACCGACAGAGTTTAAATCGACAACCAGAAGCTGAAGCAGACAAATCATCAGGAGAAAATAATATCGAAACTATAATAATACATACAATGGTTTAAGACTAGATATAGCATGTACCAGTACTGACTATTACCCAGTAGGTAAATTTGAATTTTCATGAAAATGAGCATGTCATCAGCATAGCAACATCATTAGTGCTTTTCTTAAACTAGTTGTTGACCCGAAAAAATTTAATAACGCTCGCTAATCGCAAGCGCAACACTGAGGCGAAGCAGATCATCGCACCTTTGCGATAGAAGAATGAATGACTCACTGCTTGCAGATGAACCTATAAACCGAACAAAAACCTGTAAAATTTGCAAAAACATCTAGAATCTTGGAACTTTAAAACTGTACTGTTAGATTCTTTTTAAAATCGGCAAAACAAAGCATCACGCTACATGTGATATAACCATACATAACAGAATAAGCTAAACGATATAAAGAGATAAAAGCTCTAGAAAAAAAAAACAAAAAAATATATCTACCAAAACTTTTTCTGTTTATCTTGAATAAAATTTCTTTTCTTTATTATTTTCTCGGAAGTATGCCAAGATGTAAAACAACTAAATGTTAAATAAGCTTCGAAATGTCAAAACTTATAAAGCAGTAACAAAGCCGACAATTTTTGAGCAGACAAGTTGTGCCGAAAAAATGTGTTTTATTAGAAAAACTCACACACTCAAAAAGTTTTCAAGTTCCTCCTTGAAACACCCCTTTGCGCTTCAAACGATTAAAAAAGGCTTCTCAGCTGATATATTATCTGCGAAACATTTTAAGCCGAAAAAAAAAAGAAAACGGATATAATGAAATCGGAGGTGGTAAATATGCAACCAATATAAAAATTTCGAATTTTAGAACGCAGGCATGCTCAGAAATTGTCTGTTCTCCATCTGTTTGTTGGTTGATGAAAAAAGAGACGGCAAAATTTTCAGTGATCTTGTGAACAAGTTATTTACGGGAGAAAAGTCTAAAAACCGATTGCAATACTACACTTTATCGCAAGGGTAATGAAGCTAATAAAAAATTCACTAAATCAAAGTTGTTAAATTCACAACCAAGATAACAAAGAAAACCAGTTTCAGATTCAACGAGTATTTAAAATACAAACAAGCTCAAACTATGTTGATAAAATTACAAAAGAGCTGACGAAATGATTCAGTGAATTTATTAAACCTGTTGTTTCCATGAATAAAAGTCTATATTTCGATTTGATAATAATCTTCTTGTCAATTGGATTTTTCTTTTGACCGAAAAAAAAACTGCGAAACCAATAGATCAGCCGTCTCTATATTCGAAATAAAACTAAAGCAAATTTGAAACATTGATAAAGCCCGCATTTTTCCAATAAAACGCCATGGACAAAGATATAAGGTTTGAAGATGATCTGAAAAATAATGCCCCTCGATCCCCCCAAACTACCAAGCTTCAAGTTCACGCTCACTTTGCCGACTGCAAAATATTTTGCTATTTACTAGTACCAACATTGTAACCAGGCAAATCTAAAGGGCCAATATTTGCGACTGATTTTTATTAAATCAATCAGGAAAATTTATCCGAAAATTATTCAGAAAATGCCCGTAGAGCCCTCCTGATTCATTAAATAGTTCTCTCTCGTGCATGACGTGGATAAATTCTGAAGATAAAATCATGATTGGAACAGAATTTTTTTGATATTAAATTACTAAGACAAGAAATTTTCGAACATGATTTTATCAAACTACAAACGATCAAAATAATAATTAATAAGAAAGTCCATTAATATCGGCTACTTTCAAAGTTATTTGAATTATATAGAAAACTTTTCGAATGTGACCAAACATTTCTTCAGGCGCTGACGTCTGCTTGATTCTCAGTTTTGCAGACAGTTGCTTATGAAGGTGATACAGTGTTCTGAATATTCGTCAGGATATTTGACATAATGAGCAACATGCACTGAATCCTTAAACCTATGTGACCCTACGGGTAGCCCATTTTGACTTCTGTACCGGATCGAAAGTTCCACATCCTTAAACGGAATCAGACTGTCTATATCCGAATAGATATAGTACAACGGCCAGTGTTCGGTTCGAGCCCTATTCGCTAAGCTAACTAAAGACCTCCACCCGAAAATAATTCTTGTAAGTGGAGATAGTACTGCAAAGAAAAAAGCACATGCGATTCTCAAAAGTGTCTGGAAGGTGGTCAAGTTTTCCATTCTAGCAGATATAAGCGAGTATCTGTACAACGTTGAGACGTGAGGTCTACCGGGACAACTGTCTAACACGGCTCCACAGACTTTCAGATGATCGTACTTATTTCCAAACAGAATCAACTCCACTAGTTCAGAGTAAAACGCCATTCCGTTGTTTGAGAACACATGAAAGAATACAGGATGCTCTTCCAATCCCAGATCGGCACTTATTTCTAGAAACTTCTGAGCTTGTTTCTTAAGACTGATCATATCATCAACAGTAATGAAGTAGCGTCTAAATTGGGGTTTGAAAGCGACTGTTGTTAGTCCACACTTGGCATACATGTTCGAGTATTTAGCCAGGTGAGTATCTGTGCATCCAGCCCAGCCAATCAGAAACACGACGGGCTCTTTTTCCTGAATGAACATTATCTAATTGAGCCTCACCAACAAAACATAGCCAACAGACAATTTTAAAGGCAATCACACATACATTGCATGTAATAAATTAGAATTTCTCAAATAGTATTTTAATTATTATACTTTTGTTTGAAACAAATAACTTTTTTCAGTTCAACTGATTAGAAAAGCATTAACTATGTTAACTTAACACTAATCAAATGTCAAAGTCCATGGTATTATAACGCTTATACAGCCTGCAGATTCAAAAAGGCACCAAAGTAACACTTTACGTGCAACTTAGGCTGGAAAAAAAATGCATCCTACAACGCTCGTCTAATTTGCGACTTAGGTTGGAAAAAAATTGCATCGCAGCTGCGCTCGTGTAACAAGCACAGGAAAGCGAAAAAAAATTAATAAAAACTTTTGCAATTTTCAATTTTCGAAGACAAAAAATATCAGGCTAAAGCTCTTCAAATTAAAAATCAATTTTTAATTAACGCTTTTCTGATTTAATTATTCAAGCTAAAGAAAACTGGATCAATAGGTAAATTTTTCTGGGAAATCTAAAAATTAAAATCTACTTTGGAAACTAGAAATCGTTTGTTTTTAACGCCATTCCCGCTTTCTTAATTGGAGAGTGCCATATACCTAACTTTTAGCAGACGAACTTAAATAGAAACCAAAAACAGCATTAATACGTAAGCCCAATCCATAATTGAATTAAGAAGAATGAATGATCTTATGTAGGTATCGGATCATTTCAACACTTTTTTTTGAAGAAAAAAAACGAATCATCAAGACGAATGTAAGTGAACATCACTTCGACCTTTTACACTGAAAGTGTTAACGAGCTCTCAAACATAGCCCCGAAAATATTCTGCTTTCAATTAAAGACTCAATTAACTCACGGTAATAGACAAAAGTGAGCGATGTTTATTGACCTTCCAATTCCAAAAAGTTTTCCAGAACTGTTTTTGTTTTTTTTTAATCTTTTTGGATAAATAAACCCATTTTGAGAAGAATCAAGAGGGAACATTTTCATTCCAATTTAAAACCTTTAATTCAAAAACCACATTTGAAACTATAAGCCATTCAAATTTTATTGCGCTTTTTTTGCATTTGTCGCTGGGGACGTAAAAACACGTTCTTATGAACTTTTTGCAACTTTTTTTAAACCAAAATTACATTTTTCGGCTTGCGCCTTCTCAAAGTTAATACATATTGGCGCTATGGACGCCTTTGGAAAAATTTTAGGGACAATTGGTCCGCATTAGAAGTCTTAAATTAGTACCAAATGATGGGCCCTTTGGGTGGCGAGTGGGTCGAGTCCCTAAGAGAGGGACCCCTACCCGCTCTAAATCTGCACCTGGTTCAAGTTAGATTTTACAAACGAATTCGAAGTGAAACCAAATATCAGACCGCCAAATTTTAGCAAAAACAAACGCAAACTTTTTTCTTAAAAGAAAGACAAACATAGGACCTCAATATAAGTTCAATAAATGCCTTCACTCTGTTCATTCTCACCTAGAAAATGACATGTGTTCTTAAGAGAGGAAGTGAGAGAATATTAACTTTCACAAAAAAAAACAAGTTCACTTAAATTCATTTGCGATGCTGAGCACATTTACAGAACACTTTATCGCGGTACAAATGAGGGATTGACTTCAAGTTTCTAGAAAGATTTGCTTGAAAGAGCTAAAAATTTTCTTTGAAGGAAAGTTGAAAAAATTTCAAAAGAAGCAATGAGCCAAAGAAAGCTCTTTTTTGATAAAAGCAACCAATTTGAGAAAACTTCAACAAACACTGATAAACATAAACTAAACACAGAGGCGAAGCGGTACTTCGCATCAATTGCAACAAAAACGCAAGCTCCGAATTGCAAGCTAGCGAATACAAAATGAAATGCAAATAACAAAATACGAAGGGGAAAAATTTAAAAATAATTTCAGAAAAGCGAAACCACCACAAATTTCAGAAAATACACAACCACCAGTATTAAAAAAGCTCATAGTATTGAACGAGCAGCACCTATGCCCACAAGTAGGCAGACGACCATTGAGCCGAAAATAAAAAAAAGCCAAAAGAAATTATTCTCATAAAAAACTTTTGAGCAACTAAGTTTTAAAACTTTCAAATCTTGCAACAAACTATTCATCATTTTGCAAAAACCTAATCTTGCAACAGACTATACATTTTTTGCATTTGAAGAGACTCAAATTAAGATAACTCAGCAGATGAAAGCCGGAAACATTTAGACCGAAAACAGCTTTTCAGCGAAAAAAAAATAACAAGAAAAAAATACGAAGGGTTAAATCAAAAACACTTGAATCCACGAGGAAACTTGCTGACAGCACAGGAAAATTCCCCAATGTGGCAGCTAAGCCGAAAAAATACAAGCCGACAAACAGTCCGACCAATCAAATTTTCCAGGAAAAATTCAATTTCATACATACTTCAAAAAAAAACAAGGTCCGACCGGGATTCGAACCACAGACCTTGGGGTACAAGGGCATCCGCGTTACCTCTAGGGTAAGTGGGAAAAGTCTCAAAGTTGCTTAGGTTCACTAATAAAGCAGCTTCACAATTTCTTGCTGATGAGCAAGAACAGTTGTTTACGGTGGAAAAATTTCCCGATTACAAGACACTTGCTCTCGCAAGTGTAATTATATATGAGGTTACAAGTGAAGTTTAATACCAAGTTTGAAATTACAAGATGGCACCAAATAAAAATAGACACAATTTAGCAAGTAATAACTTGGAATATAATAAACTGAGGGCATTCACACCAACTTTGCATGTAATAAGTTGGAATGTATTAAGCCACATTATGTATAAATTGTTCATTTCAAAAATTTTGGAGATATATTGAAAAAGAAATTGGGAACTTTTAAAATTGGATGAAAAAAGGTCACATTTCATTTGAAAAATCTTTTATGACTAATAATTTTGATAAAACTAACAAAATTAGATAGGGTCAATAGGTAATGTTTTTAATCCACTGGGAGATCATTTGCGCCATTTGCAATTTTGTAATTGGAGACGTTAATGTCTTTCTTTTAAAAAATGAATTTGAAATGAAGAAAAGAAATAAAAGGTCAAAAAGTTTGAGCGTGGAAAAATAGAAGTTGAGCGTCGACAACTTTTCAGACTTTCCCTTGAAAAAAAAACAGGGACTAAATGAGTGTCGTCACTTCGTTCAGCGACACTTGAAATGTTCAACAGAATAATTGCGATTTAAACTCCAGATAAAAAGAATTTACCCTGATGTTATCGGGTACACCCGAGGAAGGAAACTCTTCGTTATTATCAGCAGTAGGACTGTCCTCGTCGTCGTCCTCGTCGGGCATTCGATTGGCAAACTGAGCCGCATACTCCAATTCCTCGCTACTCTCGGACGAATGCGAGTCTCTCCTCACTTTCTCCATCTTCACTCCTTGTTTGACCTCTTCAATTGAACCCAACTTTCAATAATGAAAACAACTCAGAAAAATCTGAAACAGTTACGAGACTGAATGTTTTTCTATTTGATTTCAGCTTTCTTAAATAGTTTACCGGCTGAATGCGTTTCTTTATTCAAACAAAACTTTCGGCAATCAAAAATAAGGATAGACTAAAATATCGTAGGCAACAATATATGACCGGGTTAGAACTAGAAATCGATCATTAACATTAATCTAACGCAAACATGAAAAGAAAGATGTGGATTGAATCAACATATTCTTTTAATCAGAGAAATAACTAACTCAATTAGCAGATTCTAGACCTAAAACAATTTTGGGTAAAGGACAGAAAGACGAGCCTTTCTAGACTGAACTTAATAGGCAATGATAAGAGAAAGTAAAGCAAACAAAGCCTGTTAATTGTAAACAATTAAGGTCACCTTTCTCTCAACTTGACTTTTGACATTACAGCCAAGCTGACTCACTCGTTTCTCTCAACTTTTCAAAAACAGCATGACTTACAAGGAAATGACAAACTTTCAGGAGTATGAAGAAAAAAGAAAAAAATGAAGTTTGAAGCATAGACATTTTACACCTCGTGGACTGTGGCCTCTTGCTAAAGTGGTGGAAACCTTTCCTGGACAAGATGGAATAGTCCGCTCAGTGAAGCTGAAAACGCCAACTGGATTCAAAGTTCGACCTGTGGTCAAATTGAGCCGCGTTTTCCCAGTTTCGCAGTAACCAAGCTCCAAATAGCTAACCAACCAAATAATCACGCAACTCAGCCTTCAACATATCAACTCGACAAAGATGAACAAATCTACGACTCTTCAATTCAACTAAGACAATCAGCTCAACGATAGACAAACCAAGATGAAGATGAAAAAGAACAATTTCTGGTTCCCTTATCTACTGGTTCCCTTATCTTTGTATTTTACCGTATCCTTACTATTTTATTCAATACTTTATTTGCAAGCTCTGCAAATGTGGGCGGGTGTTAATTGTAAACAATTAAGGTCACCTTTCTCTCAACTTGACTTTTGACATTACAGCCAAGCTGACTCACTCGTTTCTCTCAACTTTTCAAAAACAGCATGACTTACAAGGAAATGACAAACTTTCAGGTAAAATAATGTTTCAATTTATACGAAAACTCGGGATTAATATCAACTTTTCTGAATAACCCCCTTATTAACAGTTCCCCTTTTTCTAACGTTCGCCTTTTAGTATTCCCCGTACCATGTAATATAATATCCCTATTTATGATATTATATTTACCTTAGTTTTATCCCTGATTTACTATTGTATTATTTTTCATGTACTTACTCAACTGATGCCCAACTGCATGGAACTCCTTTGACTCAACCCTTAAAACTACCCTTACTAACAATTGGTGTACTACTCTCCTCAGGTAATTTACCCATTTATTATAAAGCCGTAACAAGGCACAGAATACGTAGACAATGATTCGCCGAAAATGTGATCATCCTTCATTACAACAGTTAGTTTCGCTTTCCTTACACAGATACGAAGCATGGCAGCACTTGCGATACAAAATATGTACCAGAAATCAGAACTACACCGTAAAAACAACTTTCTTTAAATACTGCGACATGCTCATGTTTCGAAAAAAAATTAGAACAATTACAAAAGACACGATTTAGCTGTTCTTCAACTCTTATACTCTTAAAAGTTCACTTGACAAACTGAAAATGTGCCAAAAAACATTTGCGAAGGAGGATTTTTTCACTCCTACTACTGGCTGGTCATTTTTTAAGCATTTCATATTATTTCAATCCCAAAGCATCAAATTTTCAATAAAATTTAGCTTAAGCGCTATTTATTGATTTCTCCTGAATATCAGAAGAATGAAAAAACAAAACAATAATTCAAAATAGCTTCCAATAATAAAACGATTTCTTTAAAATCTCAAAACTAAAATTAAGCCAAACATTCTAAAAAGGATTTAAACATACCAAAAATTTATTTCCAACTAGTTAACAAGTACTAGCGTGTAACGCACCTCCGGTGCTTCGAATTTTCAACGACTCAAAAAACTATTATTTGAGTGTACTCTGACAGCACCCAATTACAGGGTTCGTAATTACAAATTTTGCTAAATTTTTTATTCAAGTTTTTTATACAAATTTTGAACCATAAAATTTTGCGAAGTTTCATATAAGTCCTTCAAAAATTTTAAAACGAACTAAGAAACGTCACATCTGTGAAACTGAAAGCAATTGAGCGGTCGCATTTGGACGCAAGATTTGCAACTCCTGAGAGTACTCCTACAGTACCCAACTACAACGTTGCGAAACTCAAATTTTGAGAAACTTCATTTTAGGTTTTCTAAAAAAAGGTATTCACATCTCGAAAACTACAAAAATTGGAGCAGTATTTTTTGATGGCAATATTCGCAATCTTTGAAAGTACACAACTACAGGGTTGGGAATTTCACTTAAATTAATTATTTTGTAATTTGAGTTTTCTGAAAATTTCCAAAAAATCACAAAAATCGTCATATCTCTTAAACAAAAACGATTTGGACATTCTTAATTGGAGGCCGAAATTGCAACCCATGAGATTACTCTGACAGCCCCCCATGGCGATATAGTGAAGCCCGCAATTAAATATATAATAGATGCAATCAAAATACTCAATTAAAATTGGTCAAAAACTCAGCAAAAAAATAGAAAATAAAATCTATTAAGCTGAAGGTTATTGAAAGTGATGTTATACAGATTTAGTGACCAGGCCAACTCCCCCTCTTTCTTGAACTCAAAAATTGGAGCAGTATTTTTTGATGGCAATATTCGCAATCTTTGAAAGTACACAACTACAGGGTTGGGAATTTCACTTAAATTAATTATTTTGTAATTTGAGTTTTCTGAAAATTTCCAAAAAATCACAAAAATCGTCATATCTCTTAAACAAAAACGATTTGGACATTCTTAATTGGAGGCCGAAATTGCAACCCATGAGATTACTCTGACAGCCCCCCATGGCGATATAGTGAAGCCCGCAATTAAATATATAATAGATGCAATCAAAATACTCAATTAAAATTGGTCAAAAACTCAGCAAAAAAATAGAAAATAAAATCTATTAAGCTGAAGGTTATTGAAAGTGATGTTATACAGATTTAGTGACCAGGCCAACTCCCCCTCTTTCTTGAACTCAAAAATTTCATCGCCTTCATTCATACGAAAAACCTCTACGCTCCTACCTAATCAGATGAGCCTAGATTTTCTTCTTACATATCGTCTTGAAAAAATGTTGATATTGTTAATTAAAAAGCGCCCAGTTATCGAATATTCTGTGCCAAAACTACCAAAATTAAGCTTAGATTTCATTTAAATGATGGGAAAAAACTGTCACTAAAATTGAATCCAGATAATCGAATCGTTAAAAAGTTCTTCGACAAAAATTTCTGGAAATAATAATGGCAAGCCCTCTTAGAGATAGGCTGTCCAACGAAAGTTTCCGGCCAGTCAAAATGTAGTTGATAACGCCGCGCCAGCCTGCTATATGTCTCGTTCAATCGACGTAATCGTTATCTATCATATTTTTCCCTCTCGACTGATCATACCCATTATTGCTACTTTCACAAGTAGGCTAAGCACCTGTAAAGAAGTATCTCCTATGCCTAAGACTGTTTCAATGGACGTCATAAGGGTTTATCAAACATGTTAATGATCCCACAATCAAAAAAGTCTCCTCACTTCATGCTTCAAGACTTCTTTTATTACCGGATAAGCAGAGCGTTGATATCTGACCACGTGGACACAAAATGGTACTTATATTTTTTATACGACACACCAAAAACCAGCAAGGAACCAAGAAGACAATTTTATCATGACCATGTGATATTGATATCTTTTTTGAACAAGCGGCGCTTTGATCGCCCCTTTGTAATAATTTTCATAGTTTTCTGACGCAGTTTTTGTTTGAAACCTCGCTTGCTTGATTCGTAACCTGCCGCTTGTCAACCAGAAAGGAAAATAAGCAATGAAGTAGGCTAACAAAAAACCTGCTGTGAAAAAATCGTTAAAAAGATGTCAAATAAAGGAACAGCGAGATTATTGCTAAAAGTTGTGATTTTGAACAAATAACAGATCAAATCTGATCAGCAAATAACAGATTAGCTGTGAAAAAAAAACCGTTTTAATGAATGTGATTTTAAAACACGTCCGTACTAATTAAATTTGGAATTGATTTATTTTCCAGTGGGAGAGCACTCCAATTTTTTTTACCAACAAACGCGAAGCTGCGCAAGCCGCATGCAGATTTAATTTCTGATCTGCGAATAAGACTAGTACGTTTTAGGCAAGAGCAAAACTCGATAATATCTGCAAGATAAATCGAACTTCTTTCAGGCCAATAAACTGTTTATTTGCCAAGTGTTATCAACTTGCAATCAGTCGTTCTTTCAATAGGAAGTCTGTGTAAGGAAGCACGTCATGTCGAAAACCATTTATATTACTCCACTTTCGAAACCCAAAAACAATACGACAGCTAGCATTATGTAGTCACTGGAATTTCTTTTATAGATAACGAGATCGAGATCAGCCAGGATATACTGTTGCAATAATCTAGTCGGATAAGAATTAAGTTCCAGGTTATCATAAGACGGCTTCCGAATATCTGACACTGTAAAATTTTCTTAGCTGAAAATATAAAAGCTACAAACAGAATGAACCTGCTATTGTCAAATAAAAGTAGAAAAAACTTCCAAGAGTTTGGGAAGAAATAAAAGATTGACAGTTTTCCATTCACTGTAAAAGTGTCCAACTTTGTGATATCTCGCGGACGACAATCTTGAGTGTTTCCAACATTGCATGACAAACTTGCATATCCAAATCAATTAGATGACTTCCATATCATGCTCAATTGGACTAACGGAATTGATTTTAATTGATGATACGGACAAATAAAGCGTGGTATCATCAGCACGAACTTGATAATTTAAATTGGGGCAATTTACAGCTGTCGATTAGAGGATGAGGTGCCACTGCCGTGTCAGTAGTATCTTCAGTTGAAAATTTAGATGCAACAATTACTTTTTGACGCCGATTCGAAAGGTATATTATGACCAGATACAAACAAAGTGAACAGATTTGATCGCCGAAAAATTTATTTGGTTTAAGGTTCTGTAAGTCTGCCTAACATCACATTTTAAAGCTTTCTCCAATGATATTTCATTATTCACTAGTACGTTTGAATTTCTTATCTCTATAATATTACTTTTATGCTTTATGGCCTGTCTAGTGATTACAATATCAACTTTCAGCTTTATCTTTTCCTTATTCCTGGTAAACCTTGTTTTGAAAAAAAAAAATCGGCTGCTAAACACTTTTTATTTTCGGCACTCTTGTACTGAGACACTTGTACTGAATCTTGAGTGAAACAATTTTTTTACTCAACTGTTTATCGCCTATTTCGTTCAATTAGCCGCGCAAATGCGTTCATTTTGTTTGTTTTGCTTATTATTGATTTTAGTGTTTAGAGCAGACCCAAATCTTCGGGGCCCAGGAAATTAGACGATAAGCAAATTAGACGGATGCTACAAAAAAGGAAATAAGACGATTTTTTTACATATCTGGCATTTTAGACGTCACTGCTATGAAAAGGAAAGGGCCAACAAAATTTTTTTAAGAGTCAAGTTTCAAAAATACAAAAAGAACAAAATGACATCATCTATCAAAACAATTAGTTCAAATGAACATTAAATGTCAAAGCCGAATATAACAGGAGTTTTGAATTGAATCAATTATTCATAATTGACATGTAAAACTTTTTGGCCACCGCAATTTAACCGTTGTCTGCAAACAAGTTTATTTTTCTCACGCAATTTGTCTGCAAACAATTTTAATCTCCCTCACTTTCAACTATTTTCTCACAATTGCAGTTTTGCAAAATCTATTAATTACCTTTTAAGTGCCTCCGTCTAATTTGCTTATCGTCTAATTTCTCAAATCCCATATCTTTGTCATTGGTGGCGTCCCTCATGCTTGAAGGACCGAATGCTTGAAACTAATTTTAGCTTACTTTCAGCCAATCAGAATTGAGTATTCAAAATCTCAAAGTAAATCGCGAAAATCTCTAAGTAAGAAAATAAATCCAGGCAATTAGTGTTAATATTGACCGATTAGATAATAAGCAGATGAGTTTTCAAGACTGAAAAAATTCTTATGATTTTGACCTCATTAATCTTGTTGATTATCTGAATAGTATTGCAGTTGCAACCCGCAATTTGTTATAGATGTTTTTTTTTATTATTTTCCACTGATTTAATACATTTTCTGTTGATATTGACTTCGATTTTGTGAGAAAGGCATTTAGCCAATAGAAACGCTTAGCGATTTTGATTGGTTGAAATTTTTCAAGCATTCAGTCCTTCAAGCATGAGAACCCTCCCCTTTGCCATTTATCCAATTTAGTCCAATTATTTGTCTCAACAAAACACATGAAAACTGATTTATTGAAAAATCAGTTCAAAAACAATCACAATCAAAAAGGCTCAAACCTAACTTACAAACATATTTATTACAATTTCAGACGTCTCATATGGTGGTATATAAACCAGCCGAAGTATAAACCATCCGAAAATGCGTAATAGCTTAATAAAAGTTAAGTAACAATTATGTTAAATACACTAACACTAGCTCGTTAGTGTAAACAGTTGTTCAAGTCTTTCAAATTTCATTGATATGACATAACATTTCGGCTGGCTTATATATTTGTCGCATTTTCGGCCGGTTTATACTTCGGCTGGTTTATTCACCCTTGTATCATATGCAGGGTTAAAAAGAGTTTTCACGACTTGAAATAAAACCGCTATGAAGCAGCCGCTAGCTCTATGGCTTCGTGTCTTGCAGTCGTAAAAGAGGCAACCAAAGCAGTAAGCTGCAAGAACTCAGACGCTCCGGCGAGCAACCTTTCCTCAATATCTGCCATTTTAGACAACAATTTACACTTAACAGCATGTGGAAAGTCAATCTTCACACAGTACAGATGAACTTGAGTGATAATATCCTGTAAAGAGTATCCTTTGGTAGAACAAAAATCGAAGATTCCGTCGACACAAGCCGAGAACTCTTTATTGAGGAGCCACTGGACGATGGTGTTGATGTCTTGCTTTGAGGGGTTCCCTGTACAGACGTAGACGGACTCTTCGTCCACTGTTTTGTACGCAGTTGCACAAGACTGAAGGATGTTCAGAGAACGACGCATGTCTCCTAAACAGGACAACGAGTAAATTATATCTCTCATACGAGAACGCTGACGCATAATTCATCACTAACTAGATTAGCAGAACTTGATAACTGATAAGCATCAACATCAAAAAAAGTGTTTCTAAAACAATTTAGCGGGCAATGAAATCATTTTTAAACATCTTTGAGCACTCGGCGTCGGCACTTGAATTACATGAAAAAAAAAATTAAGCATGTCTTTGGGGAGTTTTTTAAATGCATGATTTAAACATATTTTTTAAGAATACTAGCGTATTTGAAGCAGTCTGTTTCGTTCCTTACCAGTGGCTAGACTCAAGATGGCGTTTAACCCTTCTTCAGTCACAGTCACTTTCTCAGATTCGATCACATGTCTGATTCGGGGCATCATCTGTTCAGCTGTCAGGGGTCCGAATCGAAACCTAGTGCACCTAGAAGAAACACACACACTCGAGTTATTCGAACATGATTCCTTAAACAATGTATGCAAGCCCAATAAAAAAAATTACTTCATTTTAGCACATACTGCATACACATCCCAAAATTTGTAGATTTCCGCAAAAAACCAATGACTTTCGTAAGCTGTTAGTTTATGTTGAGTTAAATTAAAATAGAATCCCAGATTCCACGGAAAGTTTTGTTTAGCTAAAAAGACCAGAAAATGACAAAATTAGAAATCTTTCTGACCTGGATTGGATGGCTGGTATGATCTTGGACAGGTAATTACAAATGAGACAGAATCGCGTATTCTCCGTGTACTTCTCCATCACTCTCCTGAGAGCATTCTGGGCATCATTAGTCATCGCATCCGCCTCGTCCAGAATCACAAACTTGAACTTCTTGTTAAACATAGTACGAGTGCTGGCAAAGCCCACTATCCGTTCACGTACTACTCCGATTCCTCTGTCGTCCGATGCATTCAGTTCCAGCACTTGAGACTGGTAGTCTCTTGGATATAGTTGCTTCACAAGAGCCAGAATTGTAGATGTTTTACCAGTACCTGAAAGTCACTAACTTTGAGGATGGAGCTGGCGCCGAAAAAAAAGCAACTATTTGGTAAGAATTTTTACGTGCCTTAAACGCTTTTTGGCCTGTTTTTTTTCTTTCAAAAACTTTTCTGCGAAAAATCGGCTAAAACATCGTCTTTATAAGGTTTTAAAAGAGCTCGGAAACCAAATTTGCGCGACCAAAAAAATCATCAAAATTTTCGAAAAAAAATATGAACATCCACCCGCCGCCCTCGCGAAAATTCTTATCTACCCCTGCCTGAGACCATCCTTAATTGATAAAAATTTCAAGATTAGGCGGTTGGTGGGCCAGCATGCTCCGTTGTCTATCCATTCCGGTATTTGATTAAATGCTGATCTACTAATTTATTTATGGCAAAAATTGATTCTTTCTTTCCTTCAATGAACTCGAATTTAATTCTAAAAAAGTACAACAAATAACAAAATCACTCGCTTAAACGTTGTTCAACTCAATTTTTTAAACTATTAAGTCTCTCGATTTGTTTCTAAATACTGTTGTTGGCATTTCTCTCGACAACTCTAATTTCTCTTTTTTCTTTGGAATTTTGAACAAACCTATTTTTTCAAGCTAAAACCAGATTTGAACCCGATCGAGCTGGCTATTTTCCGAAATATGTAGGAAAAAACGAGATGCACCAAAATTTTCCTATGTCTCGATAAAAGAAAACTAGGGCCCAGCTAAAGCTGGAAATACCTGTTTGATATTTTTTGATTGTTATACTAATAAGGATAAAATGGGTAAACTCAAAATTTCAAAAATAGGACTTTGCCCTAAACCTTAGTTGTTTGTTTACTTAAATAAGTTTAGAAATTTACCAAGGACATAACAATTTTCTGATTTAAAAAATAAAGAGTAGCTACTGCTGGTTTTCTCGAGTGTACACTTCATCTAAGAATTGGCAGGGTAGTTTTCGAGAAAAGTCAAAAAGTTTAAAAAAAAGACGGTCAAAGTTTGAAAAAACATTGAAATTTTTGAGGCCATAACTTTATTTTGAAAAATTGGAAGTGGCCGCTTATGCAGGTAGGCTTTCAACAACCTATTGTTTCGATTAAACCCTTGATATCAGAATTGGCAGGATAGTTAGAGATAAATCAAAAAATTTCCAAAAACCTGTCAACAAATCAAAGTTTGACTTTTCCAAGGGCCATAGCTTTTCGTGTAAAAAAAGATGGGCGTAGCCGCTGATTCACATATCCCGTTAATTTGATTGAACCCAAATTCTCAAAAAACTACAAAAAAAAGTCAAAAAGTTGCAAAAATCGAAACTCGAGGGTCGTTACTTTTCCGAGGGCCATTACTCCGAGTGCGAAACAATTTTGGCGTAGCAGAGGGCAGATTTGCACAACCCGTTCTATTCATTGAACCCTAAAATCTCAGTTTTGAGAAGGCGGTTTTTGGGGAAAAAATCCAAAAATATGGGTCAAATATTTCCCCACCGACATTTTTGAAGGCTGTAGACAGTTGGGTAAAGTAAAAAAGACTAGGGCATTATGCAGGCACACAGGGGAATAGGCAGTCCTTCATGGAAACTCCTCTTTTGAAAATCGATAAAATCAGTTTCTGAGAAAATCAATAGGGCAGTTTTTGAGCTACATTGAAAAAAGTTTCCAACGCTTCTCAAAAACCCAATTCCATACATTTTCATAACGCCTGTTTTTATCAAACAGAAATTCTAGGAAAACTACCAAGCGAGACATTTGAATGTTAAATTAGCAACGGAACAAAACTTACGAAACTGAAACCAAACTTACGACTATCTTTAAGCAGCAACCAGTTGAGCCGATAGAAAAATTGACTTTATATAAAAAATTAAGTTTCAAGTCCCATCTGAAACTACAATAAACAACACTTTCAACCACCATCGTACTTGTTTAGAGCACATGAGTACTTGATGTGGCAACTATGCCGACAGAACTTGAGCAGACAAACGAAATGCCAACAAATCAATTTCTATCGGAAAAAAATTCAATTTCATACAAACTGAAAAATTAGAATTGTTCCAGGATTCGAACCCCAGACCTTAGGGTGCAAAATCAACCACGTTACGTCCGGGCCAAGTGGAATCTGGAAGTCTTTATGTTTCATAATTAAAGCAAGGGCAAATTCTTGTACCAAAATTAGTTTAGGGGAAAAGAATTCTCGCATGTGTAAATAATGTCTGGAGAAGTATGAGTAGTAATTGTTTATACCAGGTGGTCCGTAAAACAGCAGATGTGGCAACTGATCCATGTCAATGAACTTCTGAATAGTACTCGTAATATCCTGGTGTGAAATCAAATCGCCCAACACTGCTGGTCTATACTTCTCCACCCACGGCAACAGGTTCAAATCTGTGACTTTGGCCAATTTATTTTTGGGTGCGATAGAAGCGGTTGTTGTTGTTTCACTTTTTGACGGTTCAGACACGACTGTGATTTCGGCGTCGGAGGATGACACAACGACAATATCTTCTTGCGCTTCGTTTGCGGTATTTGTTTCCATTGGAGTATCTGATTCAGTTTCAGCAGGCATTTCTAACTCTGAAAGAAGAAAATACTTATTCCATTCAATTCTAATATCAACAGAGTCAATCATGAGCACTAGTTTTTAGTGCTCAGTATTATGTATCTTGGAAGAACAAAAATAACAATTACATTGGTTAGCTGCACCTTTCAAAATAAATACTTAAGGCCACGCTTTCTAGACGGTCCCAATCTCTGATACTCTTCTAAAAATATTTATTTCATTTTCACATTCTACGTGGAATAATAGATCTGTCCCAGTCAGCTGTGTTACTGCCAGTCAAGTTTATTGACTTCAGTTGTGAGCGAAGAACAAGCAAAATTCTTCGAAGGTTTTAGAAGCAAAGTTCATTTGGCTTTACAGCTCTCTTGAAAAAACCTCAACTTTCGAAATTCAAAGAAAAAAATAGATGACATTTAATCTATTTGAATTTCTTGAACGATTTATGACCGGCGCTTTTCCACAAAAATAACCCAATTTGAGAAAACTTGATCAACAGGTAAAGTTTTTATTCCGCTGGAAATCTAAAAAATAAATTCCACTTTAGAAACTGGGAATAGTTCACGTTTTTTGCGCCATTTCCACGTTCGTATTTGAAGAGTGCTATTTAAGTCACTTTAAGCAGATGAATTTCAATTGTACTCAAATTGTGCATATATACCTAAGTGCATTCATATATGCATCAATATGTATGAATGCACATTTGTAGTTATTAGAGCATTTTAAAAAAAATTTCCTGAAAAAAACACAAAAAAATCAGCAAGTCCTTTATAAGAGTCTTCACTGCGTTCATTACTCTTAATAACTTGAATCTGCTAAGGCAAACAAGCCGATACAAGCTTCGCAAATAATTCCATTGGCAAACGAAACTATCTTGAAAAAAAAAACGAATATATTACACAGAGGCGAAGTTGCACTTCGCATACACAAGCAAAAAATATGACCGATAATGCTACTGGGAAAAACTAAATGAGAAAAACTTTGAGTCTACAAAATTTCCTAAGTGACGCACGCCAACTATGACGCATTAGCAGTACCAGTCAATTTGAAAAAAAAAAGGAAATTTACCAACCAACCAGCCTCAATTTATAGAGCAGTCTATGGAGCAGTAATAACATGAAAAATTTAAATGATATAAAAATAAAATGATTTTTTTTTAATTTGAATTTTTTTTGTGTGAGAATCATCCCCCTACACGCCATATTAAGTACAAAATGATAAATTTTGCTCCTAGTAACAAATCAATTATGGCAAATAAGCTTCCTTGCACAAATTTGGAACGATTTCTAAGACGGAATGAATCTCCGCTTACGCGTTAATAGTGCGAAATATATCGCTCGTTAATTGTTCTCAATTGGCCAAAATGGCAATCTTAAACCCCCATAACTTTACAAAAAATAATTACAGGTGAAATATCTTTTCAAATTTAGCTTTCGAATGAAATCATGAAAAAAATCAGTCAAAAATGGCTAGTTAAAAACTCGAAATTTGTCAAAAGAAAAAAAAAACACCCCGAACACAAATATTCGGTTATTTTCGTTACGAAAGTCGGAACAATTATAGGTCTTAATATCCCTAGCATTGGCTGTACTTAATAGTTGGTTGTTGATCAAAATGAACACTTTCAGAATGAACACATTTTTTCGCGGCAACATTTGCGTCGCAACAATATTTGCGACTTAGGTTGGAAAAAAGATAGTTCATACTATAACTTAAGCATTGCTTGTGTAATTAGCCACCGGTGAAAAAGCCTGTGGCATTTTCGTTTTTGACCCACGTCTGGTTGATATCCAGGCAAAACGAACGACGTAAGAGAGCGCAAGTAAGCTGATAACGCCCAGCGATAAACCTTGCTGGCCAAAGATAATATCTGCAAAAACTCGAAGCTGCAATTTGCATACACAAGCTAAAATTCAAGCTCAAACATTCGAAAAATAAAAAAAATTAAGTCCCCTCAATTTTTTTTGCAAATCGGTTCAATGAACATACATTGATGGTTTAACAAACAAACACGTTTCCACTACGCCATTTAGGTCTAGCTCAAACTTTTTTGCAAGCTTTTATGCGCCATTTACAATTTTGTTCCTCGAGATGATAAATTTTTGTTAGCTAATGATGCAATGCAGTGAAATCAAAACTAAACGGCCAACATAAAAATTTGAATGTGGAACAATTTTAGCCCTTCCCGAACGAATAGCCACAAAAATAGCCCCGCTCCTATTTCGCAAGCTATAATTAGTTGCATTTATAAAAAGCGACAAATCGACGACTACAGATGGGCGACAAGCTAAAAACCTTCGCTCAGATTAAAAAGATCGAAGATTCAAATTAAAGAAAAAAAACTGAATATCGAAGTCGAAAGATAACGTAGCTTGATAATGTTATTTTCCATTTTGTCACCTTGGCAGCACATTCTCTGGTGGCAATTAGAGCACGCTTAATTTCCATGGTGTTCTTTCCTAGGTAATTAGATTCACTTGTCTATCGAGGGATGGGCGCACATCATTCTCATCTGAAGTTACTCTGCCCACCCTCATAAGCCATCTACAGTGAAGTAAATATTAAGAGCATTGTTTAAAGTTGCCAAATAAACTTGGGCATTTTAGCGAATTATTTAACATCCTAAAATCCCTGTACATTAATTGGGTTGTACTGCATGCATACCAACCTCAGAGTATGAGCAGAAAATTGAGTCACTGCGTAATAATAGCAATAAAAACTGTTTTTGATAGATTTCACTTTGTTAATTCGTACACTAGACTATTGAACACTTATTTACACGTTCAAGTGAACTTTCATATGAACAAATGATAAAAAAAAGACAGTTAAAGTTTGATCATGACAACTTGCCGAACTTCTATTTCAATAAAAGAGCATCTAACTCTCTTGTTCTCCATCTGTAGCATGAGGCCGAATTCAGAACCTCGTCGATCGAAATCAGACGAAAAAGGTGTGAAGGGAAAACACAATTAGGCTGCTTGGACTATTTGGTCTTCCGTCTTTTTGCTTTCTTTTTTCCTTTTGAGCTGGATGAAGATGAAGATGAGGAGGAAGAGCCCGAATCACTAGAGGATCCCTTGTAAAAAATAAGAGTATTCAAATATCTTAACAAGTATAGCCGGTTACTGTGCCAGTAGCACAGAATGTTCCGAACATCGTCTTAAAAAAATATATATATATATTTTTTCAAATTAGGGTCGTTTTTTCGGCGTGGTCTGATAAAATGATCATAACGAAAAACTAGAGCTCATGCATTTTCGACAGTTTTATTCAAATAAACCAAATTGGAAAACAATTTTTTGTAGAAAAATTACTAGAAAAACAAAAAAAAATTTTGGAACGTCATTCGAATCACGACTGAGAGGGCTTTAACATGATATATCACTCAACCCAGTCCGATGATTATTTGTGGTACCTGATTTTGCGTGGAAAACAAAAAATTGAATCACACCCCAATAGAAAGTTCCTCCCTATTGTCAATGGTCGGAACAATAACTAAAAAAAAACATTTCTCCCAATTAATTTGCGCATTCAAATTTTTTTAAAATGAACATCGCTAACAGTTGGTTGGAAAGGGTTTAAAACAAGAAAATTGAAAAAGGTTGATTAAAAATGTTTGAACATTTTTGAACTTTCGAGTTGATAAGAAAAAACATATCAGGTTAAAGCTCTTTAAAATTAAAATTGTTTATGAGCGGCTCTTTTTTCTTAACATTATCCAAACTAGAGAAAACTGAATCAGTAGAAAATTTTTATTCCTTGAGGTCTTGAAAATTAAAGCCCATATTTGAAAACTAGAAGTCAATTACGTTTTCAAACAATTTTAAACAGTTAATGTTCAATAAAGGAGTTTGCCTTCCTTTTAACAAATGAGTTTGAATTTAACTTAGAAAGAAAACAAAGTCAAACCGAACAAGAGCATATTTGGCGTGCCCAAAAACGAGAAAAAAATCATCGCGACCAACATAAGAAACAATCACTTCGTTCTTTTTTACTTGATAAAATCCGATATATTGGGTGCTTGACGCAATAATCTCTTATATATCACAATGCCAGAAAGAAAAGCTAAGTCGAAGGGAATCAGCAGAAAACACAGCAGTACAGAAAAACGGTGTAGGCTGATGTTTAGGCTAATTTGACCAAAAATATATTCCTCTTACTGAACTACTGCTGCCTGAAGATGAGTCACTGTCCGAGCCTCTGAAACATCAAATTGCAATGTGATAATACTAACCTCATATGAAGGGAAAAAAATGATTACAATAAAAATACGAATTGATACTAAATTTTCTTATTTCATGGTTTCTTTTTGGAATTTTTAAAATTTAATACACGTTACAACCAACAGACGAATCATGGCATATTATTCAACTAACTCACTGACACTGCCAAAGAAATTTTAAATAAAATTTTAATTTGGTAAAACTTAAATTGTATAAATTTTAAATTGAACTTCATTAAATTAATAAATTTAAACTTACGACGATGATTCCTCGGCATCCAAATGTGCCTTAAGCATACGAAGTGCGTCTGATTCCCCAGCAGTTTCTTTGTCTGCTTTGGCTGTGCTCTCCTTCGATTCTGAGCCTGGCTTCGGCACCAGCGGCAGTCCACTTCTCATTCTCTTCATGTCCGTCTCGTACTGTTTAGTTCTTGTGCTTCGCTCCAATATTTTGCGCTGGCCCTGAAACCCATCACCCAAAAACTAGTATCACATAATACCTGATACTTATGTTTGAGACATAAAACGCCTTTAAAGGTTAAACCATCCAACAATTTTCGATGATAGCCTTCCTTTTAACAATTCTTGATTTTCATAATTCATTTTTTTTACATGAAACCGAGCAGAATTGTTTGCATGAAAAGCTGATCTGCATTTGATTCATTTTAAGTCATAATACAATAATAAAATCTATTTCTAGTTCTTTGAAAGAAAATGTTTTCATTATTGTACCGGTCAATGGTTATTGTCCGTGCTACCAACAAACAGCAGGTGCAACGAGGTATAATATACTTCTACTCAACTGACTGACCTTGCACTGGTAGGACCAATGTCCCTTTTCCAGACACTTCTGGCACTTGGCATTTGCAGACGAGATCTCATTCGATATCCTTCCAGACACATCACTGCAAACAAAAATAACCAAATCGCAATATTTTAAATTAATAATGAATTTTTCCGTTTTAGTTCATCTTTTTTGTTCGAAGACACCTAGTCCTCAAATTTCGAAAAAAAAGGCAATTTCCCATTTGATAAACAATTGTCTATTTTCAATATTAAGGTCTCTTGCTTTTTCAAAAGGAGAGCCAATTTTTTTTATTAGTCCATTTAATAGTTCATAATAATCAGCCTCTCATTCAATGGGTCAGTGGTTCAAACCCCCTTTGATCCCTGCTCGTTGCTTGCGGGTGAGGCAAGAACTCTCAGTCCGACAAAAAATTCCATGCAGATCTAAACAAAATAGGAACGCAACAGCGGTTCGCCTCAGAGCTGATATTACCCTATGTTGGCAAATGGATTCAAACAGCAATTTTAGCCCAATGAATCACTCACATTCTTTTGCCCCAAAGTCTAGAAGCTGTCCCGTATCTCGCACTGGTGAATTTGTCATTTTCATCGACCACTGGTAGTACAGGCATAATAAACCTGAAAGAGATTCGAAAACAATATAGACTCCTTTGGGCTCACAATGTTCAAATCCGGCATTGAACTTTTTGTAGTAATCAAAATTTGGCAAGAGCAGTAGAGGAGTAATGGAGGACTTGGTTCGAACTCGTACTGTAGAAAGGGACCTCTTTGCCGCCAAAAGGGCTCCGTTTGGTACTATTTAACGATATCCATTTTCTGCCGATCATCCCTAAAATTATTCCAAAAAATCACTCCTCTTGAACAGATTGTGCATCTACCTATAGACCAGATATTGAAAAAAAAACATTTCCATTAAAAATTGAATACTGAAAAAGAACAACAGACTTTGACATAAGCCAAAAAAAACACAGGATAATTTACATCGAAGAAACAATTTACAGTTTCACATCACGGCAGATATGAAATTAATCAAATCACAAAGCTGACCCAATGTATTCCTGCACAAAATGCATTATTATTCCTGACTCCTACGAAAACAATTAGGCGAACATTCAGAGTTTATATCCAAAAATAAACATCAACCCAGACTTCTCTGACTTCCAATTGCTTTTGACATTTATGATCCCCAATGACATCGACCATAGCATCTCGGCTGTTTTCCATAAAGCGAATCGGGTCAAGCTCCAATAAATTATGCTTCCGTTTTATTGAGATCGTGTTAATCATCGCTCCTGTTTGCCATATCCATTGGGTGGTGTCGCCGATCCCCCTCGAGGCGGAGTTGGCCCCTGTCCATAGCCCTCGGGTGGGGGATAACTTCCTTGTGGTGGGGCTCCTCCAGCATGTGGCGCGTAATTTGGATCCATAGGCGGGTACCCGTGAGGCGGTGGGGGTCCATAACCCGGAGGAGGGGGCCCTCCATATCCAGGGTGAGGGGGAGGTCCTCCATAGGGTCCTGGAGGTGGGTAATGTCCCGGAGGCGGGGGTCCGTATTGTCCTCCATGCGGTGGCGGGGGTCCATGTGGCGGATACATAGGTGGCGGGTATGGACCTTGGGGTGGGTAGTAATAGTTCGGATCGTATCCTGGAGTTGCAAATCCTCCATACTGCGGCCCATAGCTGTATGGGGCAGGAGGGGGTGCTCCGCCTGGCGGTGGCCCTCCTCGACTGTGTTGTTGTGTTGCTGGATCATCGAATGTTCTGTCTTCGCCGTAGCCGTAGTTAGGGTATTCCGGGTGATCAGCGCGACCTTCAGGCTGTTAACATATACAAATACTTTTTATTCTACACGAAAAGTACAAATAATTTCAAAATTGAATTCTTTTCCCAGTCAGTATGATCTTTATGGTCCTAGCCAGTAAGTTGTAGAGCCCCAAAACTGCTAGCGGACATGCCCCAGGACTAAATCCTCCATAAAACGAAATCCTTCTCCGACAAACTCCCCCAGTTTTTAGTTTAAAATCACCAATATTCAATGGGGTGCGTACAGTAAACCGATGTGTCAGTAAATTACCAGATCAGTAAACCGATTTACATAATAATTACATCAATTGCAGAATTAAAGATTTATAGAATAAATGTTTCCTTGGTAGAACAATAATTTTAAAACGGGGCGCATGGGAGGAGTTAATTTATTCCATTTTTTAGATTCAATTTGTTTTGAGGAAAAATTTGTTATTTTGTAAAAATCTCAGTTTTTAGCTAATGGAATTACGTAATTGAATCATGAATTTTCGGTTTACTGATCTGGTACGCCCGTTTTCGGTTTACTGATACATCGATTTACTGATCGTACACCTATTCAATTTGAACACGGCGAATTTAAAAGATAACTAACACACGTGTTTTAATTTTTTTGCGTAGTTTCTGTTTTTTATCAACTTTTTTACTGTTCTTTTGTTTGTTCGTGGTATCATGACCACATGAACAATTTTAACAGATCATACACACCCTTGTATTCTCTCGGCCCCAATTGCACTTAATTTTCACTCCGTCAATTTTGGCCCCATTTGCGTGTGCAATCGCCTTTGTTGCACTGTCGTGGTCGTAATATCTGAAACAACAGACTGCCCATCAGCAGGGATGAACCATGCAACATGTTCATGAACATAAAACAGTTTTATAAACTTGGGTAATATTAACATTTTTCCATTAATTTTTACTTGGTCCATTTCAAGCTGAATACATCTGACTGAAATTTTCCAGGACGCTTCTTGCCTACTCTTAAGATAAGACCCACAAACAAGCCTTCAAATGTTCACAGAAAATAAATGTTACCACTAAAAAGCCTGTCGAAACAACGACACTTTAGATCTTAATTGCTGTTTCGAAAATTTTATGACTTGAACATCGTCAGGGTGGCCACAGTGTCTGAGAACTCGCACTGATGAAAATAACGCACTGATGAAAATAAATAGTAGGCACTGACATTTTTTTTGAAAAACAGCCATTTTTTGGTTTTATGATCCAACTTTCTTCATTTGCCCAACTTTTTTTTACCCAACTAATTTCTTCATCTAAGAGCTGCTCGTACTACCTGAAAAAACGTATACTGTGTAAGCCTGCTTAGATTTTGAACGATTCAGTAGAGATAGCACTGATATCCATGATATGGCACTGACCGCACTGATACCGTGGCCACCCTGGCCGTCATTTATCCTCTGTGATTCGACAAATATCTTTTTTACACAGATGCGAAGTTGCACTTCGCATACAAGCAAATATATGACCGATAACGCTGCTGGGAAAAACTGAATGAGTAAAACTTTGAGTCTACAAAACTTCTTCAGGGAAGCAAGCCAATTACCACGCATTAGCAGTCAATTTGAAAAAGAAAGAAATTTACCAATTGCACATGCCTCAATTTATAAAGCGGACACATTTTAGCTAGTATACGAAAAGTTCTTTAAAAACATCCGACCCTGCGCAGGTTCGACCTTCTTATTTTGTTGCGGGTCTCCTCCCCACCTCTACGCTACAGATCCATCATACCTTGAAGCTTAAGAACTATTTGTAATACAAAACTGCTCAAAAACCCAGAATGATCTGACTGCCTTTTAGGGTCTATGAAGCAGTAATAAAATGAAAAAGTTTAATATTAATTAAAATTAAATGAATTTTTTTTTATTTGAGATTTTTGTGAAAATCATCCCCCCACACGCCATATACAATACAAAGTGATAGATTTCGCTTTTAGTAACAAATCAATTATGGCAAATAAGCTTCCTTGCACAAATTTGGAACGATTTCTAAGACGGATTGAATCTCCGCTTACGCGTTAATAGCGCGAAATATATCGCTCGTTAATTGTTCTAAATTGGCCAAAATGGCAATCTTTAAACCCCCATAACTTTATAAAAAATAATTACAGGTGAAATATCTTTTCAAATTTAAGCTCAGGACAACATTAGCTTTTGAATGAAATCATGAATAAAATCAGTCAAAAATGGCTAGTTAAAAACTCGAAATTTGTCAAAAGAAAAAAAAACCCGAACACAAATATTCCGTTATTTTCGTTACGAAAGTCGGAAAAATTATAGGTGTTAATATCCCTAGCATTGGCTGTTCTTGATAGCTGGTTATTGATGAAAATGAACACATTTTATCGCAACAATATTTGCGTCGCAACAATAATTGCGACTTAGGTTGGAAAAAAAAGATAGTTCATACTATAACACAAGCTATGCTTATGTAAAAAGAGTAATTGCACTCACATTACGAAGGCGTATCCCTTCTGAGGAAACATATTGATGCTTTGAATCTGCCCGTGGCTCTCAAAAGTGTCTCTTAAAGACTCCTCTGAAATGGCAGTGGTCACATTACCAACATAGACTGTGGTGTTAGTCTCCGACGCCTGTTTGGCAATAGCTTTGTAATTCTGCGCTTTCACGTTTCTGTCTGAGGAGCTGTCGTGGTCTGGCACTCCGTGGGTGGGTTTGCGAGCTGCCCAATTGATCCGGATGGCCCGACTGCCTACCATGGTACCATTCAGAGAATCCTTCGCTCTTTCTGCCTCCTGTAAAACACAGTACATACTACTTTAACAATCTTGTTAATGTTCAAAGCGAGAAAAAACATATCAATGGCACGCATTGTCAAATTTAGGGAGAATTGACCACCCAAAACTGTTATTTTATTGTTCCGACCACTCGATGAGTGCAGAGAAACTTTGGATTCGGGCCTTTTCCATCCGCAACTTTTGACCTCGCAGAAGGATTGTGGAGGGTCAAAAGTAATATCATATTAGAGCCCTTTTATTCGAAATTTGATATCTTAAAAAATGAATTTTTTTCTCATTGTCACGATAAACTGGAGTGAACTTTTTCGTTTTTCAGATTAAATTAGACGAAATTTGATGAGAAGCTGATCTCCTAATTGTAACGTCAATTTACCTATAGTTACCAATGCTTCTTGCGTTTTGGCCTATTGCAATAGCCTTTTCTAGAAAAAAAAACATAATTAAGACAAAAATTGCAAATATTTTTCCGATTTTTTGAAAAATTTTATGACTTTAGAACTTTTTGGGCAACAGCTCTCTCGTGAATATCCAGATCTGCTTCTTTATGACGGAATTCAAAAATTTTGAAGGGGGTTTAAAAAATTGTACAATTTTTAAGGGCTCAGTCATTTATTTCAGTTTTTCGAGCAAGCCGACATATTTGGCAATCGGTGCCTCTGGCAAACTTGTGAAAATTTTCATGAAAATTTATGAAGGTTTTGAACAAGACATCTCGTGTAAAAAAAAATTGTTAGTAATTAGAATATCCCATCTGGAAAAACAATTCAATTGTTTTTAAAATCCACCTAATGAACTGATTGATATTATTTTTCAAGAAAATCAAGGATTCGAGACTCACCTTCTTGTTAACAAACGACACGAACCCATATCCCTTCGACTTATTCGTGTTCGCATCTCTGATCACTTTCGCATCCCTGAAATAGAATAAAAGTATACTTTTCCAGGCTTGAATTCCCAACATATCAAGTGAAGTAGTGCTTTGACTGTGTTCACTTACGAGACTTCTCCGCATTTGCAGAACAGTTTCATCAGGTCGTCATTTGTGACCTCGGGACTCAAATCTCCCACGAAGATGTGATAGTGCGCTTAAACACAGAAGACGCCACTGATAACTCGAGGTTTCTATTTGAAATTTAGTTCCTAGAAACTTAATTATCCATGTAAATATCCCTGAGAAACCTTGTTTAATATTATAAGGATCAGCATGGCAACCATTAAAATGTTACAGTTTATAGCTCTATTGGATTTGAGGGCGGGGAGGGATGGCTTTTAACGTCCATTTTTGGTTGGTCTAACCTAAAATTTACTAGCATTTTTCTAAAATGTGCTCGACAAAATTTTTAAGTGATTTTGGCAAAATTCTACATTTTAGGAAATCTTCAGGAAAATCCTAGGTCAGCTTCAACAATAAGAAAAATGAAATACTTACTCGATGTATCTTTTCTTGGCTGTGTTTTCCAGTTGATTCTAATGACCTGAAACCAAACTATTTCTCCACCCACTGTTGATAATTGCTAACCAATAAGCTAAAAGACTTTCCAACTAACCGAGCCGTGGATTTCCCTCTCGTTCATGAAACTCTTTACTGCTGCAGCCTGTGAGTTGTCTGTGAACTCCACAAAAGCATACTTCATCACGCCCTAATAAAAGCATCACTAATTACTACATTAATAGAATGACACAACAGGTTTGCACTCATCAGCTTCTCGTAGATGGCAACTCGTGTCTGCTTCCGAAAACTTGTTCGACGGAGTTGAAGAATTTAGAAGGAAGAAGAAACGGAAGGCTGAATGCTACCAATATCAGCTCGAAAAAAGAAAACTCTTCACGAGTTAAAATTGAGCAAAGCAGGAAAAAGGCAAAAATTGAAACCTGACTATGGCATGACTTATTGTAATGGCACATAAAAACTGTTTGTTTCAAAGTAGTCTCTTCTGGCTTTGCTCAAAATCATGTCTAAAAATTGAGAAAACTCCATGTAAAGGAGGATAATATGAAGTGATTTGCACCAGTAGACGTAAACCGGTTGGCTCCGTGACGTGTGAGTCCGATTGCGTTCAAAGGCCACTTACTCACAGCCGAATGAGACAAGCAAAAAAAATTTAAAAAAGTAAAAGTAAAAAAGACTTCAGCTCTGCACGGAAAACTGCAGGCCTGCATTGAAATTTAGGTACCAGCCGAAGCAAGCGTAAGGGACTGTGTTAGTGTAGTCCCTTTGATTCAAACTCATTTGATTCATTTCATTCACTCTCCGATCGATCAGAATTGCGGCGACATTGCGGCTGCAGATGCATGGATGGATCTATGCAAACCAAACCTACAAAAAGCACACTTTGTTTGTAGTTTCAAATGAGAAAAATTGAAAAGCAAACAAAGCATACCGTGGCCACCTAGAGACGAAGAATTATAATTACAGACACGTTTACAAAAAAAAAACACGAAAGATCATTAATGTGTTTTTGGTACCTAAGTGACGATGTTAATATCTGAAGACCAGCAGTTTACTATTTCTTTTATCGCAAGGGTAATAATACATTTATCAATACTTTTTAAAATTAAGCATAATAGATAGATTATAATATTTTGGAAAAACAGTTGAAACAGTCGAAGTGAAAACGAAAACTATTTGAGTGATTGTGAAAAGTATCACGACTTTGAGCTACTACAATGATTGCGCTCATGTGCTGCAACCACCGACTTTTCCAAGCGATGACAAAATCCTTTCCAATATTTACTTACATCTGGTATCATTTTGCATCTGATCACGCTGCCCACTTTCGAAAATATTGTCATCAGGAGGCTTTCGTCAACTGACGGCGGCAGATTTCCCACATACCTAAATTCAAGAAAAAATTTATTCAAATAAATTTATTCGAAAGAGAAAATGCAGTTCTCATTTAAATTTATTCGAATGAAAAGAATGTTCATTAACTCACAGAACTCGAGGGTTAGTTTCATCGTCTGGAAAGGCATTCACATCGTGTGCTGCTGGATAAGAATATTCCATTTTTACCTGAAAAACGCCAATAGTGATGACTACACGGTTTGAACTTTTAAGATACGCAGGGTTTAAAAATGAAAACGTGATTCAATTTTATTCTAGTTAATATTTACAGTTTTGAAGAATTGCGTAAATTTGGCCCAGCCGACTAAAACTTGAGCCGCTTCTTCTTTTTCACGACTATCGGCCGAGTTTTTACATTTGAAGTTCACAGCCTTTTCTATGTACAATTTAGCATTTTCATATTCACTTCGCTTGTAGTACAATAGCGCTAACTTTGTTAAATTTCCACAAGAGCAATTTGGTTTGAGCTGTTCAGCTTTCAGAAGATGCTCCAAAGCCATGTTATAACTAGCATATGGAACTCCTAAAATATATCGATCGGTGAAAAGGAAGATAGGTGTGATTGATCGTATAGTCTCTAGGTAGTGTGACCCTAAATAATAATGAGTCTCCCAGTCGCTGTCGTCAATTTTCACTGCTGTTTCCAGGTACTTTATGATTGTTCCTAACTTGAATCTTCGATGCAATGGGAAAGACGTTTTAAGAACAAGTGACAAGGACAAACCCATCATCTTATTAGCTTCAGCAGAATTGGGATCAGTTTCGACTGCCTTCTTTGCAAACGAATGGCACTTTGCTGTCTTCTCTGCGAAACTTGCGCTTGTTTCAGATTGATCTTGATCGTCTCCAATTAAAGCAAGCTTGAAATAAATATAACTTTTAAGACAATTTAGCTCAAATTCGCTATCCAATATTGAACTTTCTTCATCCAACAATTTTCGAGCCGAGGTAAATTTTCCTTCCTCTAATTCAGATTTCAGCATTTCAAGAGAAAACCTTGGCGTTGGTTCTTCAATTGAAGATGATTTGAAAAATTGGAACCCAGGCCACGACCACATTAAACATAATTGATATTTTTTAGCTTTCGATAAAGCAGTGAGTTGTTTCATGGGACTCAAGCTGCGTCGCAGTGCTGCGAAAAATTGTTGAAACATATCGACTTGAAAACACAAATTTTCTGCGAAACATAGTCGTGAGCTCGAGGTTCAAAATCATGATTATATATTGCCGAGTGTGCCAGTCGGTCATATTTGGAAGTTTGACCTTGAGAAGAGCAGAAAACACTTGATTTTGGAGTGAAATTAAAATTTTTAAAATTTCGAATGGAACATGTCATGCACGATTTTCTCGCGATAACTGAAAATCAGAAAAAGAAAAGGAGAACAATTTTAGAACAATTGCGGGAAAGTTGTCAGAAAAAAACGAGTGGGAAATTGCTATTCGCAATTTCCATCATAGTGAACAAGAGTAGAGCTGTCCTATCTGAAATAGAAGACAGAGTATTCCCGAGAGAGTAATTATTCGAACTGGACCAGAGTGAACCTTCGACGGAAAGGTGGACAGCTTGAGTGTCCCAATGGTCCACATAAAACTTCGTTCTTGAGTTCAAACTTACCCTTACCATTCAAACTGATAAACATTGAACTTATCTAGTTACCTTAGTTAATTCTAGAGTTGCTCACCCATTTAATTACTTCCTGTGCTTGAGCGCATCAACATGTGAGTCCTTAATTTAAATTTCTAGAGTGTGTTTTATGATTGTTATGTTGAGGTAAGGCGAGTTTTAGGTTGATCCATCTGAAATGGATCAAAGTCACACTGTCTAATAAAAAGTAACCTAACGGATTGTTCCAACCCGGTTTTTAACGGCGTTCATGTATTTTGGGTATCTAGAGACCTAAGTATGGGGACGTTCTTAATTCTAGAGTGGGGGGATATTTTAGTAGTAGCCTTTAAGCTGTAACGGGTCGTAGTCTCATGTCACAAGCGAACCGAACTGGCTCCGACCGTTCTTGAGGTGGGAAAACACAAGAGATAGTGTCCCTGACCCTTGAGCCAGTGGTTATAGGGCCTATTTTTCTTAAGCCTCATGTGTGACTGTAGTAGACGAATGTTACATAGTGTTTTTATGGCGCTCCTGGGTGTTTACGACATCAAGACTACGGAGTCGAACCCACTTGAGACAGCTTCGGGCTGAATGCCCATTCTAGAGTACCGGCGGTACGGTTCGACAGGAACGTGCAAACCTTCCGGTTGTACCGTGATAGCTTTTTAAGAAAACTCGAGAAAATTTCCTGGTACGCTCTCCGAACGAGGCTTAGCTAACCGAGTAAAGGGGGGCAACTAGGGGGACAAAAACACGAGCAAAAAGACAAAAAGCAAAACAAAAACCAAAAAAGATTAGAAAAAGGAACAAAAACCATAAAACGAAAAAAGACAGTGACTTTGACACCAGATTAGTTGGATCAAACCTTTATATTAATTAAATAGTATACCCATACTGTTTTACAAGTTCGATCGTTTCGATCAACCTAGCAATTTAAACCAGTAAACTGAATAAAGTGCCCGAAGTGGGGCGTTGTCAAGGGTTTTCAGATTGCTTGGAACTTAGCTGGACCAATAGGAGACTTGACTGGAAGAGGTGACCAGCCGAGTGGGAAAGTGGTTCAGGGACACTTGAGCTGAACCAATAGGAGACTTGACTGGAAGAGGTGACCAGCCGAGTGGGAAAGTGGTTCAGGGACACTTGGCTGAACCAATAGGAGACTGGACTGGAACAGGTGACCAGTCGAGTGGGAAAGCAGCCAAGAAGGATTTGGCAATTCTCGAGTTCTCAAGTTGGACAGAACGGGTATCGTTAGAATCCACATTACATTATAGGAGATAAGTGTAAAATTGGATAAGCGAAATCCCCCAGTTTTGAGGAACGTTTTTACTTGAGCAGGCCTGGAAACAGGTCTACGGTTTTCTCTTGAGAGGTTTAGCACCCGGCGCTTAAAGTAATTTTTAGGCTTAAGAAGGGGGGCTAGAAAGGGGGGAGGTTAGAAGGAGGACTGGTTAGGCTAGAGGTTGGCGGTTGTAAATTGCAAAAAGGGGGAAATTAGAGTAACTAATTAGTCGACATCGTTGACTTAGTTACATTAGAAATTAACACGCGTTGGTAATATTAGGTGGAGATCCAAAATCCAACTCGAGTTAAGGCTGGTACGCTGGTTGGTTTGGTAGGGGGGACCGGATATAGACAGCTTTTGTGATACCCCATAAGATCACTAGTGGGGGGAGCAAAACGCGTGGCAATTAGGTACCAGACAATTTTTTTTAGACGAAAGGTAGACATTGGTCACCTTTAAATTTTAGGTGGGCTCATTTTTCTGTTTTTATTATTTTTCTTACTTAAAATTTTTTGTTGCATTTTATCGAGGATTTGTGTTTGGTTTTATACGAACAGGTGATCACAAGATACCTGCGCACCTACATTGAAATAGAAACAACCAAAAAGAAGAGGGGGGTCAGCATTTGGCTTTTAAGAGAGGGTTTTTGGGAAAATTTTACTAGAGCTTGAGTGGTGGTACGAGGTACGGTGGTTCAAGAAGACCCTACAACGAGGAAGACACTCCGTGACGAGTATTGGGACAAGACCGAAGAAGTCTTAAAACAGAGCAGTCTTGGGATAGTGGTCTTGGGACAGGGTCTTGGGACAGTGGTCTTGGGACAGGGTCTTGGGACAGTGGTCTTGGGACAGGGTCTTGGGACAGTGGTCTTGGGACAGTGGTCTTGGGACAGTGGTCTTGGGACAGGGTCTTGGGACAGTGGTCTTGGGACAGGGTCTTGGGACAGTGGTCTTGGGACAGTGGTCTTGGGACAGGGTCTTGGGACAGTGGTCTTGGGACAGTGGTCTTGGGACAGGGTCTTGGGACAGGGTCTTGGGACAGTGGTCTTGGGACAGGGTCTTGGGACAGTGGTCTTGGGACTGTGGTCTTGGGACAGGGTCTTGGGACAGGGTCTTGGGACAGGGTCTTGGGACAGGGTCTTGGGACAGTGGTCTTGGGACAGTGGTCTTGGGACAGGGTCTTGGGACAGTGGTCCTGGGACAGTCTTGGGACAGTGGTCTTGGGACACTAGTCTTGGGACACTAGTCTTGGGACACCAGCCTTGGGACACTGGTCTTGGGACACTACCCTTGGGACACTAGTCTTGGGATACCAGCCTTGGGACACTGGTCTTGGGACACTACCCTTGGGACACTAGTCTTGGGACAGTAGTCTTGGGACACTAGCCTTGGGACACTAGTCTTGGGACAGTAGTCTTGGGACACTGGTCTTGGGACACTACCCTTGGGACAGTAGTCTTGGGACACTAGCCTTGGGACACTAGCCTTGGGACAGTAGTCTTGGGACACTAGCCTTGGGACACTGGTCTTGGGACAGTAGTCTTGGGACACTAGTCTTGGAACAGTGGTCTTGGTACAAGGGTCTTAGGACACTAACGGAGAGTACTGTGATAGTGACGAATAGTCTTGGGTGGGACGGTATAGAAATTGAAGTCAAATTACAACAAGTGCGTTTTAAGACAGAATAAGACAAATCGAAATAGGTAGGGTTAAGACCAAATTAAGGAAAATTTTTCGGAGGTTTTAGAAAGAGAATTGGATAAGGTTTTTAACACGTTGTACAGAATTTGTTACCACAAAAAATATTTTTTTTTACCCTTAGAATAGAATCGTGTATATAATAAAATTGTAAATAAAAGCAGTTGTAAATAGAAATAATGAGGCGGAGTAGGGTACCGGTGCTCGAAAAAAGGTCAAGTGGATCAAACACGAAATATAATTCATCGCTGCGCGGAACGACATCAACGGGCCCAAAGATAACGAAGACGAACTTTTCAGTTAACATGGTCAGCACAAGGAGTACAGCGGAGAACAGGGCGAAAGAGGACACGGAAGGGGAGCGAGTAGAACCCACCATCGAGATTGATCTAGAGACACCCGATCAAAGTGTGGATGAAACAAGGAAGATGGCGACAGAGTCAACTCCAATGCCTAATGCAGAGGAACCGAACCAGAAACCCATAGAGTTCTCACCGATAGATGACGCGGAAGATGCAATAGGCAACACCGGAGAAACGGTGAAAGAAGACTCTCAAGTAAAGAGGACATCTTTTA